CTGCCACAGATTTTCGTCCTTTGTGTGGGCGGAAGGGGGCGGGGCGAAATTTTGAAATACACTTGTAGCAGTGTGATATCACATGAGTCTGGAAACCAAATTTGGTTGCCCTAGCTCTTATAGTCTCTGAGATCTAGGCACTCAACAAGACGGACAGACAGACATGGCTATATCGACTCGGCTATTGATGCTGATCAAGAATATATATACTTTATGGGGTCGGAAACGTTTCCTTCTCTGCGTTACACACATCCACTTTTACCACAAATCTAATATACCCACCCCTTAACTCTTTTTCGAGTACGGGTATAAAAATTCCAAAGATTCCTGGCCTTGTTAAATGTGATTGCGATCATTAAATCGAATCGGAAATGGAATTTTTTTGAATTGAAATTGCGTTGGCATTATGGGAATTTAGGGAATGATAACCTCTTGCCATGCGCGTCGCGTCAAAATCGTTGCTTTTACGATCTCACCAATGTCTTATCTGAAAGTCGCGTTCCGTTACAAAGTTTTAGCTGATTGATATTTCGTAATATTGGAATTGGAATACCGACTTTAAATTTGAATGTGTGCGGTAATTCAAAAATTATTCTTGGCGGCAAGGATAGCTCGTGCCCTTAGCCAATCGTTATTCTTAGTATTGGTTTGAGTATTTAAAAAAAACCCACTTCCGATTAATTCCACAATGTTATTAAATTACAGAAATCCTCCGACAAAGAAATTCGTCTGATCTAGTTACTGCCGATTGCTCACGCATATTTTTATTAAACTGTAACGTTCGACTAAGTGCGACCGTATTACATTGTACGTGTCGCCGCAAAGTTGAATATTTCATTAATTTCGTCCGCTGGTGTAGATTGAGTATAGAAATAATACACGTGGGAGTTTCAATGCATTTAATGGTAATTTCAGAGCATGAGCCGTTCATCCACCTGGTAGCAATTTCGCAACTATTCCAGACGAAGCGATAGCTAAGGCTATGTTATTCTGTGATCGAAAACAATACTAACGTTTGACAGCAATGGATTGCGATTTAAATTGCGATTTTCCGAGCAGCAGTCGCTTCAAAACCCTCAAAATAAATAAATTACACAAGGGAACAAGGGTTTTGTTGATTAAGAACTGAATGTTGTTTTTAAGGTAATCTAGGACGCTGAATCCAACCCTGTACTTGGTTTTTTCCTATCCGATCGAGTTTTCGCGATGTACCGTTATATCCTAAATTAAGGCACTTTCCTTACATATAGTGGACTAACTTGAAAACCGCCAACAATACTGTCTTCAAGCTGTGCCTACATTGCTTTTGAATTTTCCCAACAAATTCAGTGATAACGTTGCAGTATTGACAAAAAAAAACAAAAAAAGTAACGAAAACAAAAATATTTTCTTGTATAAAAATTGGTCTAAAATCATTTAGTTAAACATCCAAGCCAATAAACTTGACGAAAAAAAAAATTTTTTAATTTTGTTTTGTTTTCTTTCTTATTTAAACAACTATTACTGAGCCATGTGTTGATTGAAAACTGATTAATGTTTTTTTTACTAATTTGAGGTCGCTGATTTCAAATATGATCTCCATTTTTCCATCAGATCGCGTTTTTAAGTTACAGGTACTAAAAGTGTTTTTGACTTTTTCCAAAAACTTTTTCAAGTTCAGAGAGTCATAACTTTACTTCTCATCAGGCGATTTTAAAACTAGTTATTTTTTCTTAATAATCTAACTGTTAGCTTTGCAAAACAATTTTTGAAATTTGCTGAATGAGGAGTAATGTTATGACTTTTTGAGCTTTTGTTGATGGAAAAAAGTCAATAATACTATTAATACCTGTAAAACTAAATTTATAGATAAAATTTTATTTTTGCTTACCGCATTACAATAATTTCTCCTTGGCACCAATATCTCCAGACGTTTTACTAGTTTCATAAGTCTCAAAACTGTTTTGTAGTTTGTAATTGTATATTTGAAAATATTTTACACGCACGTATACACACATAGATTCAAATACTGTAATCATCATCATTATACATGTTTTATAGGACACAACGGGCGCAGCATATGTAGTTTCCAGTGTTTATCAGGAAATCAATCAATATGTCCTATGTACATATGTATGCATATACAATAATGGATTCGTATTTTGTATTGACTTAGCTTTACCCTTGCAAATTACATTGAACCGACTTAGCACTAAAACAAATGAATCGTCTATCGTTGACAAACTGATAAATATAAATATACCATTAACCTGTCCTGTTTTTAAAGGAAACATCAAATTTAGATTGCCGAACTTAATACATTTAGCCAAATAAACGGAATATGTAGGAAAGGTGATCTTTCTTCTTGCAGACACATTTATTTGCCTAGTTCCGAATATTTCGTTGCTGTGTTTTCATTCTTCGTATTTAGCGAACAGTTTTTCATATTTGTTATGTGGATGATAATTAAAGAACAAACCGATATTTTCAGACTTAAATGTCAAGGTGTCATCACGGGGTAATGCAGAACATAATGTCTTTAGATCTTCGTAATGCAATACATAAGATGTTTATATAAATGTACAAATATTTGGTTCAGTTTTTGAGAGATATGTTGATAAAAGGTAGGGCTTAAAGTTAATTAAATTAGGCGTTCTACACTCCATGTAGTATTGCTTTTAGTTCAAAATGTAATGTAGTTTCTTCAGAGTAGACATATACATATTTGAATCATGTATTTTTACGCACAACCACAAATATAGTATACATTATTAGTTGTATCAATATTGATTTTACAAAAATCTTCAGGTAAATTAAATATAAATGTAATCCTAATCTTTTAGAATTATACACTGAGACATGACACTAAGTAAAGTCTATCTCGAATGTTTTCATGTATTGGAATTTGCTATAATGATACTTGGATCGGTGATCTGTGTTTCAAACGTAGAAGCATTAAAAAGTGTGTTCCAAGCTGAAAATCCACAAATAAAAATGTAATTGAATTTAAAATGCTTGAATAAAAATCTATTAAATGTTCTGTTCAAATTGCATCATTATCCGATCATTATTTCATTTCAGTCTTTAATCATTTTTTCGAAAATCTACAAATCATGTGATCAGTTCTATTGCATACGGGTATACCCTTGCAAAGGGTATTGTATCATTTTAACTAAAGTTTTGTATACATAGCAATAGCAATAAGCAACTGCTCGTAACTATTTATATAAGCTATTCATTTTTTAAAAATATTGACTAAAGTCTGGATTTATATTGTCTTTTTTCGAACTGCAGTTTTCTGAGTACGTACTAACCTATGCCGGTGTCTATAAATCATACCCGAATTAGTACAAGTACATACATATATGCAGTCATAAGACATTTGAAGAACGAATCAGCAGTTTAAATGTGGAATATATATATATTTGCAAGGGTATTTCAGCTTCGGCTTGCCGAACTGAGATGTTCTTTTTTATACATAACTATATTGGGATATTGCGATATTGATTTGGTGGGCAATTTTTCAAATAATCCTTTTTACTAGTTATGGTAGTTATGATTATTAATGTGCATAATGCATGTGCATTTGTTTCGGTTTCTTTTCTGTATAGTGATTGAGTGTCCTGTCCTTGCGGCTTAGGCAGCCTGACATTAAAACTCTGTTTTGATTCCTATATTATATTTTATAATAGTGAACCGCCACACGCATGTAAGGAATCCAATAAATATATACATTGTATTTTTTCAATATTATTATTATTATGCACACATAGATATCTTTTTTTTTCTCTTATTAATTGAAAATACTAATTTTTACATACATACATACACAGATACATCAAATATAGAGTACTATAACTTTTACGTATTACAATTTTATTATATGGCTATATATTCTTAATTGTTTTTGTTTTGTTATTAATGGTGTTTTGTTAAATTGACCTGTTGAAATTTCAATTAAAGAACAGCATAAAAACCCGATGTAGAAGCACTGATGAGAGACATATTTTTTTTTTTATACATTTGATGAATTAAATAAATTACATATACAAATTTTTAAATAAATTGTTAAAAGACACAAAAGAAATACAAAAATAAAATAAAGACAAAGAAAAAAATATCTATTTGAGTATTAACAAATACTATCTTATGTCCTGGTGCTGAAGGTCATCCTGTCCTAAAGGCATTATGACTTATAAGGGACTTTTTACAGATGCGTTGTGCTTACAGTTAGCCGTTAATATTTTTTTTCAGCAACATAAGAATAAGCAAACGTTTTTACGTTTGTTTACAAAAAGAATAATAAACTAAGTGTTTAATCTGTACATGAATCTTATAATCCCGATAGTCATGAGCAAGCAATTATTACTAATGACAGACAGCGCATCAATATGGTTTCCTTCCACCTATACTGTAAGGTATCACAACGCATAAAGGATAAAACTCTGGACCATTTTACAAACCCTGGGAACCAGGTAACATAGTATTCAATTGTGAACTTAGGTGTTTTAGGTGTGTATTACGAGTTGCAGGTCTTAAATTTAATATAAATTACACAAATTATAGAATATTTAGCAGGAGCAGGTGAGCGACTTCAGTTCTACTTTTTAGTACTGTTACTTTCAACTTGCACCAACATTGACATCATGTCATCTGTTGACCTGTTGGGTAGATATCTTGTCAAAATGGAATGTGACTTGTTACCATTTCATGCAGATGCAGAAAAGTAACAGAAAAGTATATAAATATCGGTCTCAATCGTTCTACCAATCTCAGCAATTTAAAAACAAATTATAGGTAAACATTAACTTTATATTTAATTAAAATTAAAATCAGTCGATTTTTTCTTTTGGATTACTTTATGTCGAATATCTGATCTTACACAATAATGTTACTTATATCCATACATACATACATACAATACAGTTACAAATATTTTGTTTAATGAGCAACGACGACATATACAAATGATGTTTATAGATTCTTCTTTCCACTGACATGAGAACTAAAGCAACTATTGGGAGTTTTCTTCGATCTTTAATCTGATACTTTTTAATACATAGCTTTTTTTTATTGTTTTATTGGCGAGGGCAGAACGAGTAGCGAACGAGTCATGACCGGATCGGAAAGCTGGTAAACAATACCTACGGTTTGTATTTGTGTGAATATATAATATAATTATACATACATATATATATATATATATATCGTTTTTTTATGAGTCTGTCGATTTTTGGCAGTTTTTTTTTGTGGGGGAAAGGATTTTACAATTTTCGTATTGGTCAGATGGTCGGACGATAATAAAAGGGAAAATTGTACCTATGGCATATATTTATTTATGTAAAAATATATGAATCGAAAATTTTTTCGGATTTTTGTATGTTAATACGCATTCATATATGTATACATGCACAATAGACACAAATTAAATAGTAAATACCATCTAAACATACAGCTTAAAGCACGATAGCTCACATTCGCATGGGACACACACACAACACACATAAATACATACACATACATATATATATAAATATTTCTAAATTTCGTTGGTATATAGAGAAAGACCCTTCTTCCTGTTTAATGATTCATGATTCTATTAACTAGAAGCTTATAAATAAGCTATTTCATAAATCATTTGCATCGCTTTCGAGTCATCGCTTTTCTGAGACCCTTTGAGGACTCTCTTATTCAGCTGACATAATATTATGAACTTGCTCCAATTTGAAAGCCAACCGCTGCTTCTGTGAAAACTCATCTTCCTCTAGAGTAACAGTGAGCTGTTCATTGTATTTCACAGCGTAAGTGTACAACTCATGCAGAGCACAATTGGTGTTAAACTCTGTCGTATGCAGCTGAAATAAAATGAACGAAATTCATTGAGAATGAATTGATTTCGATCAATTAGAAATTATATACTAACCCTTGATTCTTCAGCAAGCATAGCATTCATATCTTGGTCTGATATAGGCGACATATCACGAATATCTCTGTAGTAGCGATCTACCCACTTGCGGTACTCTGGTATATCTTTAGCATATAGTAGTTTCGAGCTTGGGGAGTCTTTGCCTGTAACAAAATAGAGTTTAAAAGCAGATTTTCTTTCGAAATCTATCACAATTCATACCCAAACGATGATCTGAAGTAGAGCAGGAGTCCATGAATGTTTGAGCCACAACTGAGAGGCAGGAGTCTACAATATTCGACTTGTGTATGTCGAAGACGAAGTTTGGATTTTTTATGAGGTTCACCCAAAAACTGAAAGAGTACCAAGGAATACCAGTGTGAATGTCTACCCCTCATAAAAGTATACCAGTTATTAGGATACGTACCGCAATGGTAGACTGTTGCTCTTCCACGTATGCACCACCTCAGGATCAGTTATCCCATGCAGTTGTGCTTGATCGTCCAGGAAGTCAAACATGTATTTAATTGCCAATGGCAGGGCCGACCCACGATGAGCAGTGCTGAATATTGTCTCAAAGAGATCGTCCACAAATTTTTGAAGCGTGCCCTTGGTGGCCAACAGTCTGGTTAGATAGATCTCGGACACCAGTTTATTGACTCGTTCGCCTTCTTTCTGCATATCACTGTCGTGATGTTTTACCAAATGCCAGTACCTTATACCACTATCCTGCATATCGTTGTTCAGGGGGCTGCCGGCGCGGCTAAATGTCGGAGAGGAGGAGGTGTACTTCGATATATTAAGAGTTTCATACCTAAGATTGACAATAATATGTTAAAATAAATGCATTTGTTGAACGATGTTGAAAAGTTGTTGTGTTTACTTGTGAGATTTCTCATTTTTATCCGATAATATACTGAAGTTATAGATTGAGCTCTGCTTCGGGACCAAGCTCAATCCAGCCCCATCTGGAACGTTGTAGTGCTGCAATGTGTTTAGCTTCTTCCATTCGCTCTCCGTCTTGGAAGTGACGTCTTCATCGTACAAAATGACTCGTCCCGTAGCACCTGTGCGCCACTCTTTTGCAGAAAAATAAGTTCATTTAAAATTATATATATTGCTTAAACTGATTTTTGCTAGCTTTAAAAGTTAAATCTGTAAAGATTACTATAAATAATACGATTTTTACCCAATCTTACTTAGCAACTATGCTCAGAATTATATTTTTTGTAGCGATTGCTACGTCGTCTGTGTCCAACGGGGGTCTGGCTTTGTTAGCAACAGAAAATTTGAAATTTGCTCTAGCTCTAGCTTGATGATGATCAAGAATATATGTATATACTTTATGGGGTCGGAAAAGTTACCCTCTATGCATTGCATACATCCACTTTTACCACAAATCTAATACACCCCTTAACTCCTCGATTACACTACTCGACAAAATCCAACTTTTTTTTCCTCAAGGATCCACACCGACTTTTTCTGATAGATATGGGACTATGGGATATGTGAGCAATACCTTAAACAACGCCTAATTAATGCACCTATACATTTTTGCATTTCAATGCTTTATATTTCCCAGACGGTAAGCTGAATTCACAAAGTGTTTGGGCTTGACTTCTATCTACTTTAGTTATCTGTTCAAAATAGCAAAGTTCTTTAGAACCAGACGTAAGATACTAGAGTTATGTGAAAAGAAGCGCTACCTCTGAAAAACGCTTAAAAAATAACAGAATTGAAAAATTTTTCAAAAAAAAAGTTCGGCCATAAAAAAAAAGCATAATTCTTTATAAAATTGTATAGTTCATATCTATCAGAAAAAGTCGGTTTGGATCCTTGAGGAAAAAAAAAGTTGGATTTTGTCGAGTAGTGTTATCTCAAAAGTATCACAAGACTTGGCTATTTCCCACACAAAATGGAAAAAAGTATCATCATAATGATAGCGAAAATCGGAAAAGATCATACCATTTGTCAAAACTGCTTGAAAAATGCCTCCTGACACGTATCCCATATCGAAGAGCCAACAATGTGATCTAACAATTTGGCGAGCTAGAAAACCACAGAACTATCGGTTAAGGTAACGACGATACACTCACATAACGATGAACAATTTTTTCCATGTTTGCAAATCAATTTAGAAAGATCTCTATTAAAATCTATTATTTGCTTGAAATCGTCGCCATTGTTGTAAAATTCTAGCTAAAAATAAAAATGCTACAAGATCAATCGGCTGAAACATTTTTAAACAATTATTAAATATAGGCGATGAAGAAGTTGCTACTAATGAAAATAACATGTACAAAATATATTCGCAAAATGCTCTCACTGAACGTGTATTTTCAGATGTGCAAGCCAAATCAAGCACTGTCAAACTCCACAACTCCACTTTAAAACCAATCTGTCCGTTGATGTGGGACCAAAGCAGAACAAAATTTCTATCATACAATCCCACATCGTGAGCACTATACCTGGGGGGCCATCGTACCTTTCGACCATCTAAAGAGATCTAAGCATTCAATTCGTAAGAGATGAGAAAGCGCAACAAAAAGGGAATAACTAAATCAAGCTGTCTTTGCAGTTGTGAGTTTCCTCCGATTGAAGAAAGGAAAAAAAAAATGGTGCAGACTTGAGATCAAAGTTAAACAAGAAGGAACGTGTGAGTCGCTTCTTTGGACGCGACTCTACTTTTATACCCGTACTCAGTCAGTATATAAATTTTTATGATTATGATTTATGTAGAATTTAAAAAAATTTTACATATTAAATTTGTTTGCTACATCTGTTATCTACATCTACATTTACAATGTCGATTTCATATCTAAAATGTAGAATCTACATACACAATGTAGATTCTACATAAACAATGTAGAGGCTACATCTTCTCCGCAAAGGTCGCTCATTGCACAGAGTATAGTGCGTGCGAGCGAGAAAAAGAATGAGTACCGGGTCTCGTGCTGGAAGAGGTGGGGGAAGCAACTGAGAATATTAATTTCTTTATTCTGGCTATAATAATGATCCGATCTGATTCAGATTCGGCAATCTGGTAGATATGGTCATTCTTTACGGTTGTCCTAGTTCTTATAGTCTCTGAGATCCAATCGACAAACAAGACGGACAGACTGACATGGCTCTATCGACTCGGCTATTGATGCTGACCATGAATATATATACTTTACGGGCTCGGAACCGTTTCCTTATTTGCGTTATACAGATCCACTTTTACCACAAATACAATATACCCCTTAACTCTTTGAGTACGGGTATAAAAACAACAAAAAGATAATTTTCATACCCTGAGACCTTAGATTCCGACACATTTTTTTCGCTCATACAAACAAGCACAACCGTAATGTACATATGTCAGCGGCTATTTCGGATCTAAATTTTCGGTTCGATATAGTGATTGAAAGGGTTCTCTTCGAATAAGACTGACGGAAGTCTACTTACCTAGGTCTAAATCTTCTTTGCGAGGTCTCTGGCTGGATGGTATGTTTCTATAGATTGTCTCCAAGCATTTTTCCTTGACTTGGCCAATTGTATCGCAGTCCAAAACCTTTACGGACACGTTCTCGGTGTGGGAGGGCAACATGTCTAGGTTGTTGCAGAAGATTGGCTGCTGTATAATGCTGGCATATACATTCATTGGTCGAAAATCGATGGACTGTCGTATAAGTTTCTCCTCACTAAGGGAGTATCTGGCCTCGTGAGTGCAGGCATCGACTGGCCCCTTGTCAACTTGTCCCTTCACAGCACGAAAGAGCATGTATAGAGGCTCTCCTGCGCATTCCTTCAAGAACTTGTAGAGCAGAAAAGTGAACCAAGCACTTAACATTTTTTCAGCCACACTTTCGGTTCGCCGTAGTAGCAATTTGGGATGACTTTTCCCTTCTATGCACTTCTCGATCAGGTCACCCAGCAAGGTCTTTAGAATATCTGTGCAGTATTCGAGCTTTGACTGTAATGTAACCATTATCAACGAGGCCACATTGACTCGTTCTCGCATCGAGAAGTATCGATTCGACTCCAAAGTACGTATGAAGAGTAGCAGGAACGTTTTGTTCATTATGAGTTGGCCGAATATACGCAGACCCTTCTCCTTGCGCAGGAGTTCTGGTCTTTCCCACTGCAACACAACGTGATCTTCGTGGTTGGGAAAGAGAATCTTCATGGCATACGACCGGTAGTCCAGGAAGGGAATGCCTCCAGAAGTTAGATCGCCCGTGAGGTCAGTCATTTCAGTCTGGAGTTCAGCAAAGGCTTCTTTGCATTCGGCAGCCACTCGCAACTCCAGTATGTCCATCTGCTCCTGCATGTTGCGCAACACTCGGCTCGACTCGGAGCTCTTTTTCTTATAGGCCACCAGCAAGGCCACGAAGATGAGCAGCAGGATCACAATGCTGGCTATTACTGCGAATATGACGTTCTCTCCCCAGTCCAAAATAATGTTCGACGACTCATAGCTCAGTATCCCAATTCGGTACTCCAGCGAGGATCCGATGCGAACAATCACTTCGGGGCCGTTGGGGCTCTTAGTTGCTGTGGCTTCGGGCGGAGGTCGACACGTGAGTTGCTGGCGGGATAGAGACGTGATGTTGCAGAAACCATTCCCTATTCTCACCTCCACATCGCTCTCCTTGCAAGCGCGGTCTAAATTGCGACCGTTTATGGTTAGATACTCGCTCTTAAAGTACTTGACCCTCTCCTCAAACACAAAGTACTCTGGGTTCGGATACAGCTCGAAGTGGTTGTTGTGTACTTTCGACAGATTCTGCACACGCAGCACATTGTCCATAAGGAATCCGTACTCTAGGAGCATTGGGCTCTCGGCGTCCAAGTACTTGCTGTCTGCCTCAATAATCGGTGATGCACACTCCATTTCCAAGTCCGACTGGACTCGACACTGGCTCGCATACATCTCCGTGTTGTACACCACATAAATGCTGGGAGACTGTATGCTCGTGAATTGGGTGCCAATCACTGAGATACGAATACCCCCGGCAGGTATGCCCTTGGGCACTTTGATCTGGCCAGTGGGTCCGGAGCTGACGTGCTCAACGGTTGGGTCCAGCACATATTTAAAATTGTAATCGTTGAACTCTCGGGGGCCGTTGTCAAACGACATCTTCAGTCTCCCCTCGATTATCCCTGGCGACGGTGAGGTGCGACATATGGCTTGCGAGGAATCTGCGCTCAGAATTTTGCAGGGCAAATGGTCGTTGATGGAGGCTTGAATGCGGGAGCCGGCATTCAAATGCTTTCCAGAAATGTGCACTTCGGTGCCACCGGACGTCGGGCCAAACTTTGGATTAAAATCCAGTATTTTCGGATCAACAAACTCGTAATCCTCCTTTGACTCACCGCGGTAGTCCCCTATTTGAACCACTATTCTTCCGTTTCTGTACATCTGCTCGCCTGGACTATCCACCGTACACACAATTTGCTTTGTGTCGATGTAGAACTGCGGGAATGGCATGCAGTTGATGCCAGCTATGCGAACTCCCGAGTAGATGTCGTTATAGTTCTTGCCGAGATTGATTCCTCGTATCGTTATGTTCGTGCCGCCTTCCCAGGGACCCGTCTTCGGGTCAAAAGTGTGAATTTCCGGGTTGGGACAAATCTCGCTCCGATTCAGCCAATCCGTTTTGCCCTCATTGTTCTTATTGCACTGCTCTTCCACCTCACACGTATTGGTGGACGAGCACCAGCCGCAGTTATACTTGTCCGCCAAGGCCAAGCAAATACCACAGCTGTCGGCCATGTCTCGGCAACGATATATTACAACTGAAATATGTTTATTTGAATATCATTTGAACACATTAAAAATAGCCCGCATTAAGTTGAACACTTACCATGGATATTGTGGGGATTATCAAGGGGCTTCGACCCGCCCCAAATAACAGCGAAGGTTGCCGTCAAGTTAGGCGATCTGGAGGTATACTGAAACTCCATGCTATCACAGTAGATGGTGTCGCCAAGCAACTGAGCATTCAGGCTGGTTACACGCCCCTCGATATTGAACTGACAAACGAATCGGGTCTGCACAATAAACTGTCCGATGATGTGCACCTTGACCTTGATGGATTTACTCGTGCCCGCAGCCACAAGCACTTCGCTTCCGTCGCCCGTTGCATTGATCGTGGGACAGAATCCAGGTCCCGATCTATAGCTTGGCCCTATCCGGCTTACTCCTGTCACCAGTATGTCGTTCCGGCAGTTTTCAGCGGTATCATGCGTGCACCTATGTGCCTCCACGCACCAATCGCATGGGAACTCTGAGGACACACAGCGGGTGCAAGAAGAGTGGGTACTGCAGTCGAAGAAGGTGAAGTCCGTGGACACCAGGTCCGGCCCGTTCCTGGTGCGCACAGACAACTTGGCTGTGAAATGGTGTTTTCCCTGCTCAATTTGTGGCAGCATGTCTGTGCGGGGTGTAGTACAATTCACTCCGTTGCGTTTCTTGGTGGCATTGGTGAAGAGCGCCTTGTCCTCGGTGGTAAAGGCACATATTAGATTCTCCTTCAGCTGTGGCAAATGATCGATGATTAGCTCTAGGGTGCGGGCGGTAGTGCGTTGCAACTGGTGCGGAACAACACTCGTTATCGTCGTGCATTTTCCAGTCTTGTAGCTGACCCAGTACAGTGGATCATTGGCATCGTCCTGGCAATTAGAGCGCGGGCTGCACTTGTTCTCCAAGGAGCACCAGCCACAGTACGGATCTCTGGCGCCCAAGCACTCTCCGCAGGTCTTGTAGTCGGAGCAGTCGAAAACCTTTACCTTGCTCACTCTGTTCTCAGACATGGCGTAGATGTAGAGATTCTGGTTGTCAAACTTCATGTCTTGATTGATAGCCGAGCCGACATCCACGGGAAAGCTGGAGTACTCGTTTGCAACGGACGACGATTCGACCACAACTTTCTTAAGGTATCCGTCCACTGTTCCAACAAAGACAACCGTGTATCCGCTGGTGCTAGTCGACGCCACTGAGGTGAGTCTTGTGCTAAACATAGCCACGGGTACGGAGGTGATAGGGTTCTCTCCTCCCAGCGGCGAATTCACGTCCAATCCACAGAAATCCTCGCCAATAGTTTGCAGTTTCTGTAATTTTCCAAACAACAAATTGTAATATTATATAAGAATTATTGAGTTCTTATAATTATACTTAAAATACGGGTGGGGTGGCCGTACTCAAAATCATATTAGTGTATTAAAATGTATAGTCTACTAGCAGACCCGCGCGCTTCGCTGCTTACTAAATGCATTTAATAATTAGGAATTCATCGAAACTAAACAATGATAATTATCATTATAATTATATTATAATTTGATTATAATCAAAAGCAACAAATATACCTACACAAATTGCAATTTTTTTCAGAATAAATTGTTTCATACAAAAATGTATAAAAACAAAATCTATCATAAAATGTTCTGTTCTACAGAATGACAGAAAATGTGAAATGAAATCAAACATACATTTTTAGTCCAAATTTGAGATTTTTTTGTTGATTAATTATTTTAATTTTCGAGGAACCTATTTTTGTTTTTTTTTTTTCTGTACGTTGATATGCAATGACTGCACCACCAGTCCGAGCATAGGACCCTAAATGTTTCGTGCAAGGAATAATTCGATCTACAAAGCGGAAGGAACAAAGGAAGAAAGTTTCTAGTAGATGTAACAGGAATCGTAAAGATTATCCGGCTCAACAATTCAGGGCTATCTACGTCACCCTTGATCAGGTTGTGCATAAAAATCACACTAAGCATTTTTCTACGACTAAGGTTGGAAGGTTTATTAAAAGCAATCTACGAGGGTAAGATGGCAGTCTCATACCTGCATCCCAGTTAAGGCCACGCAGAGCAAAAAGTAAAAAGTTTTTCTGGACTGATTCTATACGAACGAACAAGCGAGATAAAGAGAGTCTTCATTATATAGGTGTCGTCAAATTCATTTGACCACCTCTTTATAAACCCAAGCACCCATGGCCTTATTTACCATGGTAGAAATGTGTTCAGAAAACTTTAACTTGGGGTCTAGTTTAACACCAAGATCATCAACCAAGGTAATTCTCTCAAGAGAACCACCGCAGAGGCTATAAGGAGCCAAAAAGGGGCTGGAGCGATGAAATGTCATTACTTTGCATTTCGAGGCATTTAGTTGTAACAAATTTGCACAACACCATGACTGAAAGTTATTGAGATCGGATTGCAAGCGAGCGTGAAATGAAATGTCCTTATACTGGACGCAGAGTTTAACATCATCCGCATACATGAGTACTCGAGAGTTTGTCAATAATAAAGGCAGGTCATTAATAAAGAGTGTGAATAGGCCCCCTAGATGGCTGCCCTGTGGTACTCCAGAAGTAACCTTAAAAGGTGAAAAGAAAGAGTTTTTGAAGACGACTCTTTGAGACCTAGAACGAAGGTAGCTAGAAATCCATCTCGAAAGATTAGGCGGAAACCCTAAAAGGTCAAGTTTTTGTGCTAGAAGGGAATGGTTTACAGAATCGAATGCTTTACTGAAATCAGTGTAAATGACATCCGTCTGCAAGTTACCTTGGAAGCCTTTAATGATAAAAGAGGTAAGCTCTAATAAATTAGTGGTTGTTGATCGCCGCCTTATAAATCCGTGCTGAGACGGAGATATAAGTGATTTGAAGAGATGTTGCAAATGCGGAGCTAAAATTTTTTCAAACATTTTAGGAATAGCGGATAACTTAGATATACCTCTATAATTATTTGCATCAGACTTGCTACCTTTCTTATGGAGCGGAACAATAAAAGATTCCTTCCAGATGGGGGGAAAGCATAACGCGTTAATGGATAGGGTGAATAGTTTAAGCAGGGGTCCACACAGAGCGTCGGCACAGTACAGAAACAGCTCGCGATCATACTGCTTCTTGCCACTGGGATTGCTGGGCGACCATTGGCCCTCATTGTAATTAATCAACGATGCTAAAACACTCCGTCAGGACCTGGTGAAAACACCGGCTTAACTAGTCGAAGATCATGAAGCAGTGAGCTTTCATTTAACAAGGGGCTGAAAATGCCATTCGACCTTGGTAAACTGTATGGATACGGCTGACCAGAGTAGCTTTCATGAGAATAGGTTGTTTGGAAAAATTTGGCAAAAAGATCGGCAATTTCCTGATCATTGTTTGCTGACATATTGAGAAATGATAGCGAGGATGGATGTGCGGACGTTCTACGCTTACTATTTACGAAGCTGTAAAACTGTTTAGGGTCCTGTGAAAATCGTATTCTGCACCGAGATAGGCAATTTTTATAGCATTTGGCGTTAAGAACGGAGAAATTTTACGGAGCTATTACACAGCGAGAGAGAAGAAGGAGAAAAAAATTCTCGAATTTTTTTATAAAGTCTTAATTTAAAGTTTTTTAGACTGGATAACTCTTTGGTAAACCAAGGAGGCTTCCCAGATCTAACTGGACAAGAAAGTGGGACACAAGAATCAAAAAGTGTGTCTAGTAGATTGTAAAAAATGTTTGTGCCTTTCATAACGTCAGTGCACAAGTACAGAGCGGACCAATCAAAATCCCTAATAAGGTTATTAAGCTTCGTAAACTCGGCTTTACGAAAGCAGCGGACACGTTCAGATCGATCCAATACAGTAGGGCCAATATCGACTGACACTTCGAATGTAGGATGGTAGGAGTCTTCAGGTATAATGGGCGGAAGGGCTCGGGTTAACAACGCTATGGTCGGATCCGAGGCAAAGCACAGATTAAGCAATCAACCCAAGGAATTTTTCACATGGTTGACTTGAGACAGGGATAGGTCTAGCAGGCCGTCGATAAAGTCATGTCGTGACATGGGCACAAGGTTATTGGACTCGTTTACCGAAGACCAAACAGTACCTGGCAAATTGAAATCACCAAGAACTATCATATGGTCTTTATCTGATAGCGAGGAAGAAACAGTTTTTAAAGCGGACAGGTGATGCTCGTATATTAAGATATCCGAGGAAGGTGGAATATACGAGCAAGTAATGAAAATGGAAAAGCCTGGGAGAATCAGTTTTACGCACAGGAATTCCCGGTCTTGTTGAACCTGGACCATGAAATGTTCCAACGTGAAGTTTGAGTCCACTGCAATGAGGACCCCACCTCCACGTCGAGGCGAACGGTCATTTCTAAAAATTGTGTACCGACCTGCCAAAACTAAGGATGTCCGGCTTTAGCCAGGTCTCGGTAAACACAATAACGTGGGACGAGAATGCGAGACTCTCAAGGAAAAGAGTGCTGAGCTTACTACGCAAGCCTCTAGCATCCTGGTAGGTAACTACAAGAGGAAGTTAGTTTTTTGGATGGGTGGAAGTAGAGGTGAAAGATGAGGATGGAGATGGAGCACTGGTCTGAATGCTAGAAAGAGTAATGGGCGGCCTATTCTTTTTCTTAGCCTTAAACTCTTTAACCACCAAATGCTCCGGCCAAAACTTGGCGGAACAAATGGTTTCAAATTGAGTTGGGGAGACGCTTATCTTGATGGAAGATATCTCCCTGGCGTAAGAAAAGTTAAATTTTTCCACCTTTAAGGCGACGGCTTTTATTTTGCTTTGTATAAAAGCGGTCACATCATTGGATGTGAGATCAGGGACTAGCCGCGAGACAAAAACTTGTCGCTTTGGTGGGACTCCCGCCAGTGGTTTTGGCACCACAGGCCTAGTACCTGTGATGGCAGTATCCGGTGGTCCTGGACATCTATTTGCTGGTGGGAGCGAAACTGAGAGGATAGTTAAGGGGTAGGGTGTGGACTCGATGGACACGGACTCTACAGACATTTCTAACTGCATACTCTCCGAAGTGACGCATTCGGCTCCCGAATTTGCATCACCAGCAGCGATCGTTGCCCTTGGAGTAGCAAACGTAATCAACTGCTGCATTAAGGGAGTGGTCGGAGTAAGTTTTTCAGATGCCGGCGGACATGAGGCAGTCGGCACTTGCAGGTCCCGCGGAGTAGACTTCTTGCGCCTCGGAGACTCAGCCAGCAGCTGTAAACTGCTGAACTGAGTGTTCATGGCCAAGAGCCGATCATATTGCTGTTTAAAGCCTACGATCAGCTCTTTGAAGCCACTTCGCGTCTGCCTCATAAACGAACGCATATCGTTTTCCACAGCACGGCATTCCTCACAACTATAATGCAGGCCGTTGTTTTGGGAAATGGCGTCTCCTACACGGCCCGAGATCCCTACACATTTTGCGTGCACTACGCTTTCGCAAAGCCAGCAAGGGATATTGGGCTGGTCATGGGTGATCTGCTTCTTGCTGGTTTTTTTTGGCACAGACGACGAAAATTCCATATTGACGTCTTTTATTATACCCGTACTCAAAAAAGAGTTAAGGGGTATATTAGATTTGTGGTAAAAGTGGATGTGTGTAACGCAGAGAAGGAAACGTTTCCGACCCCATAAAGTATATATATTCTTGATCAGCATCAATAGCCGAGTCGATATAGCCATGTCTGTCTGTCCGTCTGTCTGTCTGTCGGTCTGTCTGTCTGTCTGTCTCCATGAGCGCCTGGATCTCAGAAACTATATGAGCTAGGGCAACCAAATTTGGTTTCCAGACTCATGTGATATCCCACTGTTACAAGTGTATTTCAAAATTTCGCCCCGCCCACACAAAGGACGATGTGCCTGTGGCAGGCACATTTTTAAAGATACGATAAAACTAAAAGTATCGTAGAGAATGCCCATATCTACCAGACTGCTGAATCTGAATCAGATCGGATCATAATTATAGCCAGAATGACGAAATTAATTTTCAGTTGCTTCCCCTGCCCCCTCCTGCCAACGACAACGCAACTCATTTTCCATCTCGCTGGCACACTCTGCCGCGTTCAGTGCGCGAGCAACCCCTAGCGGAGGATATGTAGAATCTAAATGGTACATGTAGATAACAGATGTAGCAAAAAAAATGTAAGGTGTAAACATTTTTTTTAATTCCAAAAATTCATAATCTCCAAAATGTAAATACTGACTGAGTACGGGTATAAGTAGAGTCGCGTCCTCAGAAGCGACTCTCCCGTTCTTTCTCGTTAATATTAATATACAGTATTTATCTTGTCCCTTCCAACAACTTATTGGATATTGGAGAGCGTCTTGAATTCTGTGTCTGTCGGCGATGAACTCAAGATTATTATTTCTTCTCTGAAAAACAATTTCTCGAGTCGCTGTGCGATCGCCAACTATAATTCCAGCAACGTAGTCAACCACAGGGCATTTTGTAAAGACGGACCGGATTGACAAAAATATATCGTACACTTAATTTCTCTTCGAAATTAATAGTGATTATTTAAATGGCAGAACAATGTTTGCCGGGTCTAGCACATAGATATACAAAAAAGTTAATTTTACAAACTTAGTTGAGATTTTGTACATACCGTTAGAACGCACGGCATACTTGGCGATATAAAGTCCAGTCCGCGCATCCCATTGCCATTAAAGCACGATTTTATATTTTGCATAAATTTACGACGAATGGATTTCAAGGAGTAGATGCAGAGGGCCGAGTTGTTGGTGGGTGCATTTCCATCTCCTTTTGAGAACACAGCAAACAGAACGTCGTCTTGGATGGAAATGCCCAAGCTTTGGGCCAGATCCGAGCTGGGCTTTCCCAAGAAGCCGGCCTGCACTAGGTTGAATTTGGTGCCGCCCTGGGCCTCGCTGATGCACTCGACCGGGATTTCAGTGTACGAATAATAGTTGGAATCCTCCTGACATATCCGGACCAGTTTGGTTATGTACTCCTTCGGGGACGAGTGGTGGTTGTGCTTCAGCTGGGTGGTCAGAAAATACGAGAACCGCTCCGAGCTGAAGCCATACACATAGTTCACGAAATATGATTCCCGGGCGTATGAATTGATGAATGTTCGTGTTCCGGTTGTTACCGCCGATGAAGCGATCTGAAACATCTTCGTCTTTTCGAGGGATCGTGACGCCACAGCTGGGATTTCGCTGCGGTATGGGGAATTGTTTGTGTAGGTAACTCCGACATACATTACATTGGTCACGGGATGCTGGGGAGGTCCTGGTGCTATGAATGCCACTGTTGAAGACTTGGCGTCGTTTGCTACCACTGCATCTGGTACCTCGTGCTCAATTATACTAACATTCTGAAGATTGCGCACTGTGCACGTGCCCTGGAATAGGGAGCCACATGCGATAAGGCGCGATGTGGCCCGGTCTATTAACAGCACTTTGTTATAGTTGTCTGTCGGACTGCGAACGGCGTTTAGCGGACAGTCGAGTATGCTGCACTCGACAGAATCGTTCTGGGGTCCGGTTTTCACTGTCTCATGAAGTTCCAGATCCGGCGACAACTGATACAAACGGTTAACTCCGCCCACAAATACTCGCCCCGTAATTGTGTCCACCAGAAGGTGGTTTAGCCGAGTGTCGAACTTGGCCACATTTGTAATGGTGGTGCTCAGATTCTTTGCTTCATTGACGGCGGCATTGGCATCTGTCAAGCTTATGGACTCGTTCTGCAAAGCCGCAACCATTCTTTCAGCCCGGAAGCGAGCAGCGACGATCCGTGAATGTCCTGATCGTAGCCAGTACTCATGATGATCTCCTAGAGTTGCTAGTATCAGAACCCATAGAAAGAAATGCATCTCCTTAATCGCTCGTTATCTCGGCGATTCGATACACTTCTTGTATTACAATGCTGGTGCCAAATCACCAAATGCTAATATTCTTTAATTTAGAAAGTCGTTGATTCTACTCTCAGTAATTATTTGATGATGAATGCAGGATGTGCTTTTACTGTACTTTGTCTGTGGGTTCCTCCTTGAAGTGGGTTCTTCTTATCTGTCATCCATTTGACATAGAGTTGATCGCTAAAGTAACTTTCAGGGAATTACCATTTTTTTATTAGCGGCAACATATTTTAATCTTGTTTATAGATGGATAAAAGAACATTAATTCAAATTTTACTTTATTATTTGTATTTATTTTCTCAGAACATTCATAAGAGTGCAAAGATTAAATTAGCCTATGGTATTATGGACTATGGACTGGTTTGAATTAATATTAATTTCAATATGTAGTAACTGGAATCTACATTGACGAGAAATACTGTAACGTGCCAAAGCTAAATTAAAAATAAAGTCAAATGTTACACTGCGGTTATATTAAAAAAAAATATTTTTATTGTTAACACTACCCGACACGATTTTTTCTCAAGGAACCAAACCAACTTTTTGTAAAAGATTTGGGGCTGAGAAACTGTTTGATGATATTTTTTGAGTGATTTTTTAAAATGACGAATCTGAATTACATGTACCGCCGCACCTCATCACTCTCAAAACTATTTTTGAGACACTTCCAGTTATCCAAATTGAACAAATTATACCCTTTTAAATAGACTGGACTGTTAGCATTAGAAAAGCGAAGAAATATCCATACATTCGAATTCCATCTTCTTGTTTTACATGACATAAGCGGAATACCCATGAAATATGCTGGTCAATGAAAAAGTAGTGTTTTTTTTAATCGAAAAAAAACAACGAAACAGATTTATGTTCTTCATGTTTCTTGAGCTTTAATATTTAGTTTTTAATCAATTTGGTTTTCATTGCGAACTTGCCCGGCCGACTTTCGCTCTGGTTGACGGATTTGCAGTTGCAACAATGTATTTAGTATTCCAGCATAAGATTTCTAATATCCTGTTGGACAGTTAGCCATGGCAAAACGTCGATCTTTTCCGATAAAGTTTTTGTATACAAAATCGATTTTCAGTCTACTTCTTATAGTTAATTGGGTTAAATACAATAGTGAGAGTGCATACATCTTAGTTTTCAATTCCATTTTACCTCCTGCCTTAAGTTTTCAGTCTAACTCTTAGGTCTTCAACGCTTCAAAATCAAAAGTACCGCTATGTCCAAAACTTTCTTTCATCAAATTATTTGATATCCAAATTGAGCTTACGGGTGGTGGCTTATTTAAATTAATTTTTTTTGTTTTTTTCATTTAAAAAAATTAATTTAACCCAGCACTACTATTTTATTGAACAGCAGACAAACATCATTGGGTAGCTGTCTAAAGTCTTGAAAAACAAGAAGATGGAATACAAATGTAACGGGGTGTCTTCAAGTTTCCAATGCTTACATTCCAGGTTTTCCGTAAAGCCCATATGTATGTGGAGCCCATAACAAAGTCCTTATATCGACCAGCAAAATCACCCGCTTCTGCTGCTAACTTTATCAACATCAATAGCTGAACCTATAGACTAAAGTCCCGAAAACCAATGGGACGTGTACATAACAAACATAATCTTCACACACCGGATTCGGCTTCGGGGAGGCTCTGTAATTAGGAGCTCCACCACCAGGGCCACAAAAACAGTGGATACGCCTCAAACTCCGCGAGATGGGTAACAGGGACAATTGGAACTCGTCCCCTACGAGGGCATATTTGTATGTGCAAAATAAGCTCCGAAAAGATAGCGCATTGCGGGACGTGACCACCTTGTATAATTTCATCATGGAGAGTTCCTATGGTAATATAATGTGACGAGTCAAAAATTGCAATCAGAATGCGATCGGAAAAACTAATGATAGTCAGCCATGCTCCGGTTTCCGAAAATTTCTGCAGAAAAATTTGTACGCCTGGGCCCTGGGATTCACAAATTTCATTCCCAAATTGTGTTGCAAATATAAGTTAAATATGCCGTCGTTTTGCAATAACCAAAATAAAACGAAAAATTCGTGAATTCAAAAAATTGATATGCAGTGCTAATGGGTACGAGCTAAACACCCACGACCAAGAAGAGGATGACTGGATGCAATCTCCAAGACACGATCCGCAGTTGCGACTGTGATTTTTATTAGATTAGTTATTGGGCCACTGTTATTAATAGTATAAAGTAATGAACTAACTCATTTTCCCCCGAATTTAGAATACAAAACTACTAAAATAATAACTACTAAGCCCCCTTTTATTTAGTTCGAAAAGTCGCCATATTTCTGGTGGCGCCGCTTTAATAAAAGGAGTGGAGAAGAAATGCAGACACTGACGGAATAATCTAACTTATTTAATAATTAATACTATAATTAATACATTCGATTATTTTTGGCTTTTTTCCCAGTGGTGAATTAGGATGCAGAGGCGGCGACAAGCAAGGGGCAGCAGCCGCAGCACAACCCGCACGAAAGATGTAAGTGGTTGCGAAGATATACATATGTATATGTAAATGGTACATAGCTATGTACTCACGGTTCGCTAAAATTGCTCAAAATCGCTAACCACGCCCCTTACTTGTGGAGTTTTTTTTCTACCGAAATGAACAACACTTTATATGTACGATGTGATGTACGACTTTAACTCGAATTATCCGAGTAAATGATTCATAGTAGACGCTACTCTTGAGTATAATTCAATTCTCATATTATACATATAGATAAGTATGTACATTCACATACACAAATAAAATAACAAATGTTCATAGATATGCACAGCTTCAGTTACGAATCAGTTTCACCTAAAACATAACTACACTATAAAATTTATTTCGATTAAAATCAAATTATCCGAGTAAATAAAGTAGACTTCGATTTTCACTTTCCACAAAGGGTTCGGTCTTTGCTGCACTTTGTATGTATAACACTGAATCAAGGGAGGATAAGCGGTGCTTGTTTTAACGCGGATGGAAATACAATACCTACAATAATAAATTTAGTTACATCACATTTAATCGGTACCTATGAACACTACATCCTTGGACAATACATCATATCTTCGCTTTTATTTATAATTCTTTACAAATTTACACATTTTACTCTGACACAGTGTGACCGCGGATTTATCAATCAAATATACCGTCAGACCCTCAGAAATATACCGAAATATTTCGTATCATTTTAAAAATATACTGTAAATATACCGATAGAAACAGAAATTTGTATCTCTAATAAAAAAGTAGCAAAACAATTTTTTCCTTTATTGGAGATCATTTCTAATAGATTAAAAATATTTTATTTCTTAAATCTGTTTCTTATGTTGGTTTTTATATGATTTACTTCGGATCACATGATGAATTTGACAATTATCATTGGGCGCGTTCGCCGTTCATTACTATCGCCGACGTCGCACATTCAATCTGCTTAGTACGCAATAACAGCTGCGCAGCGTCTTGGCATGGAATCAACTAAGTCCTGGCATCGTTTTAGGGAAATTTTGGAGCAGGACTCTTTAATTTCTTCCCAAAGTGATCGGATAGTGGTTGGCTTGGAAGCAGTAACTGCCTTCTTGACGTCGGACCACAGATTTTCGATGGGATTCAGGTCAGGCGACTGTGCATGCCACTCCAAAACGTTCACAGAGTTTGCCCTGAACCATTCCTTTGCTTTCTTGCTGGTGTGTTTGGGGTCATTGTCCTGTTGGAAGACCCATACGAGCGGCACTTCATATTCTGCAAAGGGTAGCATTACTGTCTCCATGATATTCACGTACACGTGCTGATCCATGATGGGTTTTGTCCAATGTATTGGACCTACTCCATAGTAGGAGAAGCAGGCCCATACCATTACACTATACTCTCCATGCTTAATAGTTTTTGTGGTGTACTGGGGTTTGTATTCAGTATTCTTTGGACGTCTAACGTATGATCGAGATCCCTTTCTACCAAACATAACCACTTTGGACTCATCTGACCACAAAATATTTCTCCAATTTTGGGATGTCCAATTTGCATGATCCCTGGCAAACTTCATGCGCTTAATTATATGTGTCGCATTTAAAAGTGGTACCTTTCTTGGGCTGCAGGCTTTAAGGTTATGTTTCCTAAGATATCTGCGAACTGTTTAGTCCGTCGCATTTATTTTAAGCTATTTTTTAAGCTCAGTAGCAGGCTTGAAGGGATCCCTCTTGCTCTGACGAATCAGTCTTTTGACATGAAGAGGGGTCATAGATCGTTTTCGCCAGCGAGTTTCAGTCTTTTCTTCATAGTTTAAGAGGTTTTTAATCATTTTATTGGAGCATCCTACCAATCGACCAACTTTCCTGTAAGTTTTTCCATCCAATATCAATTTTTTGATAAGATCGCGCTTCTCCGTAGTGCAGTGCTTTCCACGTACTATTGTAATTATTACTTTTAACTTTTATGATAGAAACAATGAGTTCTTAGTCAAAACTAATGAGCAGGTGCATTCTGCAAAGGCGATTCCGCGAAATACAGGTTATTCACCAAAAAAAATGGCTAATGGTGCTATTTTTTTTTTTTCGCTATTTTTGGGGGTTTTTTGTTTTTAAATCCCAAAAAAATATATAGACAGAAATTTAAAGAGCGGTAGCACTGTTTTTGTTTATGGGGAATACCAAGCAATATAAAAAAATTTAAATTTAAAAAAATCGCAAGAGTAAGCGCATTTTTTTTATCAAGAACAAAATGTATTGTAGTGGTGCTATTATTTTTTTCGCAACTGTATATTCGCTTCGAAGACTCGCAACAAAAAACAGACACGCAAAATTCGAATATTTCTTTGTAAAGCATAGTATCCAGCACTGCGGAATCGAAAAATTCCTGTCAAACTCTATATAAAAAAAACTGTGACAGGAATGTTTCGCTAATTTCATGATTATTTATTAATGTAGCTTTGTTTTTTTTTTGCTATTTTGTGCGTGTTCTTATCGATATGTCAGCTATCGATAGAAGCCAACAGCAATCCATCATACACGAGACAGTTTTGATATGTTTTCATATTCTAGCCTGTTGTTAAAATCTTTTATTTGCCTCAATTCACATTTTAAGCCAAAGATTAGAGCTGGAAAAACATCGATGTTTGTCACCATCGATGTCTTCGATGTTTTAGGGCGAAGACATCGATTATAATCGATTATCGACATAAAAAATACAAAAATTTGTTTGCGGCTTAAATTTTTAATTGAGATCTGATAGGAAGCTGTTTTTGTTGATTTTAGGTTTTAGCGAGGTCCTTTTTGGGTCGCTTGGGACTAGATATGATGTCTTCTTCGTTATTTCCAACGTCGTCCAATGCAGTTGCCGTTACTGTTTTAAAGAAATTAGTTTAAAATAGTTAATTTGATACTTTTTTACACATTTAAATACATACATATGTATGTATGTAAAAAAGTATGCGAAAAAGTGACAATATATACATAGATGTATATGCATGTATACAAATTTATTCGCATACATAATACATATGTGTGCACATTGTACAAAATTAACTGTATTTCATTATACTTACTTTTTACAAACTTGTCCATGGCGCTACTACGATCCACGCCAACACCACAAAAAATGTTATCTATTAAAGTAAGTAGAATAGATTAATTTTTGTAAGCAAATTCGCATAAAATATTCTCTTACCTTATAACGAGTTCTGTCTTTCGGTTGTAAGTGACGATAATCGATGTTTGCAGAAAAAACATCGATGCTGAACATTTTTGAGTAACATCGATACTATCGATGTTACATCGATGTTTTTTCCAGCTCTACCAAAGATGCCGTTTTTGTAAATTTGAAGGCAAAGCCCTGAGAAATCGCGCTGTCAGGAAAAGCGTGAGAACAAAAAACCAAATGAAATATTTAAATAGAGAAGACAAATAGAATTAAAAAATTAAGGCACCTATGTGAAGGACAATTCTATTATAATATAGTATTATTTTTTATAAATTTTTATGAATATAAAACATATATTGTTTTCAAAACATGTTTTTTTCATGGTCAGTCGGTGGCGGTTTCGCGGGAGGTATCGCCATTTGCTGCTACTTACAGCCAGACACATTCCTTTTCCAATAAAATAATGGGGTGCGACTTTTGCGATTACGATTTTGGAATAATCGTACGAATTTAAATTGTCTGCACTCCCGTTTTCGTACATTTTTTCTATCGATAGTGTTTCATTCCCAAATTGTTTTACGATATTTGTCTTAAAAAAATTTGTTTTTGCTTTGAATATGGAAATGTTTTAGTAAAATATGACACTATCTTGGCAATTGCATTATATTATACCCAAAATTAAGCTTTAAGAACAGACAACATTTTTCCCCTGGCCGATATTAATATCGATATTTTATCGGTCAAATGAGAATTCGCACTTTGTTGTTGCTCAGGTTAATTTTTGGTGAGGCTAAATTTGGGGTCCTTGGAAATAAAATTATTATTAAATAAATTAATTTTTAATTATATAATTATAGACTTAATACATCAGCAGAGTTGTTTATATATTTTCCCGCTCATAAAAGTTTTTATTTAGGTACTATGTGCAATTCGGTTTGAAATCGCGAGCCAAGCTCATTTGCAACGGGTTTCAAATCGTAAAAATCTTGTAATTTACGAAAACCTGAGCACGCTTTTTGCAATTTGACTGTCAATCACATATTTTTGCGATTTGCGATAGCCGAAGCATGGCTGTATAAGACATATTTTTGCTAGCAAACAGTTTTTGGATCTGAGTAATAGGCTTTATTAAACTGCGGCAGGCCGACAGTTTCGATGTAACAGTTGCCGGGACCTTTAAGAGGAGAAGCGGGTTAACCGTAGAGCATGCACTTTGCCCGCTTTGGTCACACTCTGCCCCGAGTGAAATATATGCCACCATATATGGCGAGTAAATTAATGATTATAAGTTGCGTTCACCAGGACAACTTTATCAGCGCTTAGTGATGGATTTCCTACGATACTTCTTGTGAACGCACATAATTACTGATTTTAATGCATAGTACCAAAGACTATACAATACCAAGATGTTGCATGAGCGGCCAAAAGCTGTACTATGGCGGAGGGGCGTAACGAATCAATGACAGGGGGAGCGCGGGGTCTTTGCTCGCCTATTCTTCGATTCTGACCATGACCTCGCTGGCGCCTGTTCATCAGCGACGAGCCGAGTGAACTCGAGACAGCGTCGCACAGCGGGGCCTTCGGCTATTTCAGCTTGCTAATTTATAATTGAATAAAACTAAACTAACTAATTATCTTTAAAATAAATTTTTGAAAGCTTCTCTTTTCATTTCAAAGCGCTGAGTCCCCACTGTGCCGCGCCAAAATCTTTAGACCGTGGCATTGCCAAAACAAGCCCCGCGCGACCATACCATGAGCGTAAAACGAAAATTAAATGGGCATCTGATCTATCTTATCATCGATTCCATTCCGCGGGCCACTCACCGATTTTCACGCTTATTCGAAAGTCAAAATTTTGACTTTAAAAACTCAGGAGTCAGAAGAAAATTATATCCTTATACAGATGTCTTCAATAAAATAGTAGTGCCGCACCAAGCCATTTTCGAAAACTCTGAGATATTTTCAGTTTTACAAATTAAACAAAAAATACCTTTTTGAATAGACTGTAATGTAAGCATTAAAAAACCAAACAAGTTTAGTTACATTTCTGCTTAAAAAAGGCATTACTAAGCTAACTTCGAAAGTCGAAATTGCAATAAATGGCCACCACGGACGCCCGCGGATTGAGCGCCGAATCGTTAAATGAAAATTCAGTAAGTGGATTGGATAGTGATGTACTAAACTGCTTATTTTATTAACTTGACCTGAATAACGTTAAATTATTTGGATGAGGGTTAATCACCAATTGAACAACCTTTATGGGAAAGTAAGATTTTAATTGTTTAAGTGTGTGTTTATGGGTGTATTTAAAAAAATCGCGGATCAATAGTGCACGATTTCGAATCAGCATAGAATTCGGTGTGTGGCACCGCGGAATGGAATCGAGGCGAAATTCAATCGGAAGCGATTTCTGTGACACCACTGTATGTAATACAATGCTACATTTTTTTTTTAATATTGAAGACATTGAAAACATGTATTAAATTTATTTATTAAAATAACACTGAAACGGTTAATTTATGTGTACATTTGTAGTATTTTATTAAATCTTATTATTAAACATATGCGTATGCATGTATGGTCATATGTACATGTGTATGTGTGTTAATATGAAACATACATGTGTATTACATACATCGACTTTTCTATATATAAATTCGAACCATACATAAATTAAAACTGAAGACTTATATTCTAGGGAGGTGTCGGTGTCTCTGTCTGAATGAGTTTTTGTCTTTTTTTTATCGTGTTTGTTATTGGAAATTAAGTTCGTTGCAATTAATTTCGATTATACACTCATATGTATGTATGCACAAGTTGCATTGCATACTGTTGGATAGCATAGCAATCCTAATAAATAATATATACATTATACATACATATATATGTATGGAGAGATCGGTTTTGAGGAGTCATGGCCAATGGTGTTACTTTGCCACATTCATTATTATCTTCTTATTTATATGGCATATACGAAATTTTATGAATTTTCATAAATAGCTGAAAGGGTTTCTCTGCTTAGTTAGTTAGTATGTATTTATGTATGTAAATTGCGTTTCCAAAAATAATAGATGTACTAGAACACTGATACGATCTACTCAATATGTGTATCGCCTATGTTAGGGAAGAGATAGAGAATGGGAATGTGCTGACGTGCGCATTTGTTATATTATTTGCAATTGACAGTCTGGATGGTATCTCGGAGCAGGGTCACGACCAGGACCTGTAACATCAGAATCAAAAATCGGTGATATAGCAGACACTGATGCTGGTGGCGATGTTGGCGGCGTAAGAGCTTGACCTGATACAACTTCACTTAATGAAAGGCATACACCCATTTTCATCATACCCATACCGTTCTTTGCACCCATGCATATCTTCAAGTGTCTAGGTGAACATAGTGTCATTTGTGGAATCATATTTGGTGGGTTATCGCTATCGCTGGTGTTTGTAGCTTCCTTACTATCAGCCGAATGCGCTTGCTGATGCTTATTCTGCTCCTCAGCTGCATGTGCGGCAGCGACTGCTACCGCAGCGGCTGCCTTGGATAGGAGCTCAGAAGGCAAATTGAAAATTGACGATCACTGAAGACGCGGCCAGTAATTACCACCCGCTAGATCTGATACATTCTGCGTTGATATCTGCACGGGCACAGACACACCGGCAGAGATAACACCTGTACAAGAAATGGAGACTCTTGATTAGTTCACTGTCGTATAGTTTAACTTTCACACCTGTACCGTACCTGTGTTAGATGTCATTGAAGAACTGTTACCATAAACTCCGTGTTGAGGGGGTTGTTGGTGTGCAGCTGATGGATTGCAGGGTGCATTTCGATGGTGAGGCGGAGCATACGGAGATCCCAGAGACAACGGATCGTGAAACATATAGGGATAGCTGTCTCTTTGTTGCAGGCATGTGGGCGTCATCGAGCCTAACGAAGAGGTCATTGAGCTATCGAAATGTGTAAGTTTCAGTTAATACTTCTCCAAATTACAGCTTGATCAACTTCTAGAGCTGCATTTTAAATTTACATATCACAAAATTGAATATGTATTGATACGTTCTGCTATGCGTAATTCCAGATTGAGGAATGTGCACAGAGTTAATTTTTCAATTATAGAAGACTTTATATGAGAGAGAATTTAGGCAGCTTTCCAAACAAAAAAGAGTGCTTTGTGCTTTGTTTGCTTAGTGGTCATGCACTAAGTACCCTAATAAATATTTATTGGCTAGTACTCAAAAGAACTCCATACGCTTGGTTTTATTCACGGAAATCGGCTTATTCTTCACATCGGTTCTAATTCGTTTGTTGGAAATCCTCACACACCCACCGTTGAATAAATGATATAAAGTAAAACGCTCGTTGATCAAACATACGACATGTATAATTAAATGATATAATATTGTTACGTTTTTACTATTCTTTATTCCGACAGAATTTGGGTACCATCATAGCAAACTGTCAGCTCCGACTGACTATTTTAGTGAAAAGCCTGGCCACCATTTAACCTACTGGATTAGCCCTATTCTTACAATATTTTGGTTTTTATTGCATTTTTGCCAAAGTAGGCAATAGTGTTGTAAAGTTGACATCAGTTGTGATATGTTGTCCATTCGTCACAATACATACTATATCAGCTAATCTTTTCAAGAAAGGTGTCTTTATTAAACTCAGCCCATGTCTATATAGTACTGTGTTTTGGCCCAAGTGTACGCTAAGTATGTTTCAGTCAGGCTCAAGAAATTGTTTTCTTTATTTTGCCAATAAAACGAGTAATCGAAACCTGAAGCAGAACAACAACTCTCAGTGCTGGATATAGACAATGTAGAAGCCACAATGGGAGTTGGGCAAATGGGGATCTATCTTTACAAACTCTTTAACAACACTATTATTATACACCGATGCACCCAAATTAGTCGCGACCGTATATAAATTATAAATTTTACCAACTTACTTGTAATTTTCTGCCATCGTTGCTATGGGCTGCGGTATAGATGAGTACATTGCATTGAAACCGGTATTTAGGGGTATCCGTGGTGCTACGGCTTGAAGTGGTGGGCTTTCCGAGCTTGTATGCGTGGCATTTGCATCACCTCCGAGTACCTATCACATTTGTACGTTAATTGAGCTATTGTTAAAGCGTACTACCAAGTGGTACAAACTACTTACAGTTGGGGCGTTGGATGTATCGGGTAGGGTGTTGTTGCTGATTATGGCTGACGATGATGCTCCCTCCGAACCGATGCCGTTGACCGCTGAGCTAGCAATACCGGGCGTTGAGTTGCTCGACGGTGTGACGGAGGAAGATGCTGCTGTACCTGACTGATTATTTGTGCTGGCTCTACCGCTACTGCCACCTACATGATCTGCGGACCGTCTTTGAGTGCGCATCTTTTCCTCTCGTCGCCACTTGGCTCTCCGATTAGAGAACCATACCTGTTCATGGAAAATACATTTTGAATTTCGGATTAAAATCATATTACTAAATGCATCATGTATCAGTGTAGGGTTTAACTAAAACTAACGTTATCAATCATCATATACGTTGAAAGTTCGATTACTATAACAAGTAATTAGAAAAAAATGATCTTCCAATTTGCTTCTCAGCAGATACCACAGACAACTGTGTACACAATATGTAAATACATACATACATATGTAGAAGCGAGTTTATTTCAAAATATTTCCCCCTCCCTGCCATTACCAATAAACCAATTTACATATGTCTTTTGGAGGTCATCGGCTGCGACCCCAGCTCTAACGCTTACATATAATTACGTACAAAATATATAAATAGTAGAAGTTACATTAAACATAAGCTCACATACATATGTATATACTGACTGAGTACCGGGTATAAAAGAAAAGCCGTGGACAGGGGTATACTAGATTTGTGGCTAAAGTGGATGTGTGTAACGCAGAGAAAAAAACGTTTCCGACCCCATAAAGTATATATGTATACTCTTGATTAGCATCGAAATCCATGTCTGTCTGTACGTCCGTCTCGATGAGCGCCTAGTTCTCAGAGACAATAAGAGCTGGAGAACCAAATTTTGTTTCCAGACTCATGTGATATCACACTGTTGTATTGTATTTCAAAATTTTGCTCCGCACTCTTCCGCACACTTCCACAAAGGACGAAAATCAGTGGCAGCACCAATTTTGAAGATACTAAAAAGAAAACTAAAAGTATGATAGAGACCATATCTACCAGATTGCCGAATCTGAATCAGATCGAATTATTATTATAGCCAGAGTAAAGAAATTCATTTTCAGTTGCTTCCCCACCTCCTCCGGCGCACACACTCTGCCCTATGCAGTGCGCGACCTTTCGCAGATAAGATGTGGAATCTACATTGTAGATGTATAATCTACATTTCAGATGTAGAATAAACATGTTAAATGTAGATGACAGACGTAGCAAAAATATGTAAAATATTTTTAAATTCTACATAAATTATAAGCTCACAAATTTATATACTGACTAAGTACGGGTATAAAAGTAGAGTCGCGTCCAAATAAGCGACTCACACGTTCCTTCTCGTTACCGGCAACTTACCCCTAAATTGTACATATGTATGTACATATGCATAATCTTATGATTTATTTAATTTATACAATATAGATACATATTCTGCGTCTATCCTGTTTCCACCAATAAGAGATATTGTACCATATTGTTCGCTATTGATGCTGATCAAGCATATAAAGAATATATTTACTCAATGGGGTCCGAAACGCTTTTGGCTGTTAGATACATCTATACGAATCTAATAGTAAAACTTCATATTGTTTGAGTACAGGGTATACAAAATTGGTACATGGCCATGACCATATCGTGGTTTGGTGGCTTATTTGGATTCTCGTATATTTAATCCAGCGGTGCTGGAGCTCCGAAAGTTATTCTTCGTCAAGCAGACGGCACAAAAATTTAATCCATTCTCTGCGTTGAAAAAATCAGGTAGAATTTTAGTAGGCAGTAGTATTCCATAGACGAAAAAAATGTTTATCCAGTAAAATTATATCTTTATCACACTGCTTTAGAAAAATATATGCGATATACCTTGTATACGAGTACATACATACATATATATGCATAGATTGTGGAGGTGAATACTAGTTCGACAGATAATAGAAAACAAAACCCAAATTAATTCACTGTGTAGAGAGTTCAGAATAAAACGAAGCAGTTATGACGTGACTGTTATTGCTGAGGACATTAAATTCATAACCTCCCAAGTGCCACAGTGGGCGACAATTCGTTCAAGTCCTCGCATCAAACGAATTGATTTGAGCCCTTTTGCGTCGGTGTTTGAAAATTTGCAGTTGAAGCAAACACTTGAAGTGTAATGAAGCTATTACTTTGGTCATGCAGTCGCGTTCGCGTTCGCAGTCAGAGACACTCACCCTTCACATAGTAGTTGTTATGAAGAGAATCGAAATTTAGCAATTTGACAAAGGGGTGACTGTGAACAAGGATTACAATATTTGTTGGGCCTTAATATTTACACCATGACATTTATTACTTTGCGTTATTGTTGCCGCTTCCACTTCAGACGACATGTTTCCCCTTAAGTTCGCCAGCGAACTCCAATGTGTCCGCGTCATCGGCTACTCAATCCGAAAAAACACAAGGAGTTTCAAGTGTTTTTACAGTCAAATTGTTTTTATTCACTTACACAAAGAATCAAGAGCGAACGATGAATGTTTTATCCGACTGGGCTCGATAAAAAACCATTAAAAATAAACAAAAATCGCAGGGTGCATTGTAGAGTTATGGGTTGATTTCTGGCTGTTCGATTGTGTCCCTGTTGCTTACGTCTGACCCGCTTAGTCAAAATACGCAAAAATAACTCACATTAAGAGCTAGAAAGTACGACGACATTCGGGGTCGAAACTTTAAATATATTTAATAATCAATACAACCTTGGCAAAATGTACCCGAAGCTAAGTATAAACACAGACGGGTTCTAGATATCACTGTTCGGATAAATCTGTGCAATGTGAAGGAGATTAATGGTGGGAATAGGGTACTAAGAGCGACTGAAGCCACTGCATCATAGCAGCAATAGAACGTTAAGTCACAATAAAAACGGAATGCAGCCACAGAAAAGACAACGGAAGATGAAGAAAAAATGATATTCATATATTCATACATTTATACGAGTATACAGATACCAAAACGGTTTCACTTCTCAAAAACCATAAACTTAATATGGGCTAAAGAGCACCTCTCGTTGAACGTCCACTCTGATACTAAGTCCAGGGGTCTGCTTTTTCAAATAGTCATGAGAATAATCATTTAGTGTGGACAGCCCCATCTTACAGTTGGATGGCTGGCGTGTCAAACTCAGTTTCATCTGGACTGACAGATCGTCCCCCTTGACGGCAGGGCAATGACAATGCTGAAGGCACTTTTAAAAACCACCCTAATGTGCGCTGTGAGGGGTGAGAAGCCCCAGCTCGAGCAGTTCTTTAAGCGTAGCCTAATCTAATGCTTTCCTGCCTGCAACACCAACAACGCAACTTAGTGGGCAATGATACGATATGTTCTGGTGAATACACAGTCGAATTTCAGACCATTTCAGACCAGGACAGCTACAGGGCTCGCTTAAAGATTGGCTTTCTACCTTGGTTCAATACTGCAAGCGACAGAAGCTAAGTTTACAAAGACTGCGGACTCCAGGAGAGGCGACACGCGTCTAAAAAATACTAGCGACGAGGAGCACGAAACACAGTTAAGGCGATCCAGTCATGTCTTCCCGTAGTGACCCGTAGTTGGTTAGACGTCCGTGGAATAAGGTGGAGCTCATGGGTGTGATGTTAATATACGTGCATAACCGTATTAAATCTGAAAAAGGACTTTCACAGCCAAGACACTCATTTCAAATCAGTTAACTTGATACTCTTGTCGATCGACGACCACTAAAATCAGTATGTAATTACTATGAAAAGATATGGAGGAAATGAACGATCTGGACCGACATCGTGGTTACATTACCGGGATCCAGATTGGCGTACTAAAACTTAAATTTAGAAGTGATCTGAGTTCGGTAATCCGTATTGTGTCCGATCGAGTAGATTTATGCGATTCTTGGCATGGGCGTGACGAAGACAAGCTTGGTCAATTATTAAAGACGCCCAGGTAGTCCGCGATATTAATCTTTCAATTTAGAAAATAATATTGGGTGCTACTTTTCATTCAGATAGCTTTAGGCTTACATTCGATTCATTGCGGAACTGCTTCCTTGCTTGCGTTACAAAAATCTAACAAAAATTATAAAAACCTGCGAGGTTATAAAAATCTCCTTACAAGGTAAAAGTCGGGTCCCAAAAGCATATTAAAGTCTCAAAATGTCTGATATCAAAGTTTGTGACGAAAGACAACATCCATTTTAATAGATGTACTATCAAAAACAAAAATCATACAACACGATTTCTTTTATTAACCCCCTCTGTTGAGTGTTGAGTGCGAGGGAATTTAACGAAAACATTAATTCTTTAATGTTCTCCTCGGACAAGCAGAATGTAAGCAGACAAAACTTGATACGATATTTTACAGTTTCTAGACCATCATTACCGGGTGTGGATTACTCTCTTCTGCAGACATAAACGGCAAAAGAGTCCGAACTGAATGATCGAAAGTTGTAGCGCCACATTACAGAATACTAGAAACAACATAAAACGGAGTCTTTAATCAGAATTATTTTCTGTAGTTCAGTAGCTATTGAAAGACCGTTTCTGTGCATTAAATCGACTCTTTTCGTCACAAAATGAAATATCAGAAATATTGGGGCCTAAAAATGTATTTCTTACCGTACGTTTACATCCTAAAAAGGTTTTTGATATAATTAAACAAAACTGAAAGACAAACCTGAATACGTGCCTCTGGCAAACCAATTTTTTCAGCAAGTCTCTCTCGCGCAAAAACGTCCGGATAGTGTGTTCGCTCAAATTCTGTAAAGTGCAAGCCAATTAAACATGAGTATCTATATATACTATAGGATTGAATTAATATTTACCTTTCTCCAGGCTGTCAATTTGTTCATTGGTAAACGAGGTTCGATTGCGCTGAAGTTTTCTTTTCAGCCGTAGTCGCATTTGAGAGTCCTCGTCCCCAGATGAATTGTGATCGGAATTGCCATCTGACGTACTCTCGTGAGAGGGGTGAGAGACATCGCCCGGGTATATATCTACAGAGAATATCAAATTGAAATCAAATATGATTTTTGATTTGGTGCGCGTGGTGTGACACAGTGCTCTCTGAGTTACTGATTCTGTGCACCATGTTCATCGGACGGAGCTCACAGCACACACTACAACAAATTATACAATCCAAAAATGATAAACTATAAAACCATTTACCATAAAAGTGTGGACTCCCTCTAGAGCTTATCCTTGTTTTAGAGAAAATTTTAATTTTGACAAACGAGCGCCAACGTAAGGCTATAACCGATACGCGGTCAGTACATAAATATATGTAATTGTATGATATACATATGTTATAAAGATGAATTGAATAGATTCTATATAACATGGAGAAAAAGAGGATTCATCCACGACCCCAAGCTACATATGCTCTAATGTTAATTCTTGCACTCCGTTTATCATCTTTCTTCGTATGACCTATTTGATTATAATTGAAGAATATTTCTTCTGTTTCCATTTTTCTCTAAATTTGTCTCTCTCCCTGTTTTCACTCCAACATCCCCTCCGCCCCTCCGCCGACGAGAAGAGCTTGGAAGAGTAAGCCACCTCAAATCGCTTTGTTTTATTACTATATGAATTTGCGTTTACGGTTTTCTCGTAATTGTTCAAAATTGTTGATGCCACAGATTTTCGTTCTTTATGGGGGCACTTAATCTCTGAAATCTATGGGCTCATCGGTAGTCCCGATTCGGGACGGATAGACAGACATATGTACATGTATGTACATACAGATCGAGAATATACCTATGTATATATACATCCTTTTGGGAGTTACACACATCCGCTCAAAGCTAATCTAATCTGATCGATATTCAGTTGTCGTACAATTCAAACTTTCTGCCTTCTGAAGGTCTTGGGGGAATTCATTTTAGTCATTAAATCAAAATCTAAATGTGGTCAATCAGCTAAAAAATCGTCTGGATATGAATCAAAACTCGGCCTGAATAAGAAAATCGGGTTAGTTTAATTAATTTTTGAGATTGTTTGTCGTTTTTTGATTAAAATGCTTGCATATGCCGTAATGTTGTATGCCTGCGTCTGTCTGTCTGTGTGAGTGTGGTTGATACAGCAATCAAGTTGATTGGACGGGATAATATGAGATAAAATGGAACGGAAAAAGGAATGGTATAGGCGCATGGGCGGGGTTATGTTTATTGGAAAGAGGACATATGTCATTCTAATTCATTGATCGCAAAATAAACAAAAACAATCGAAGTCAACAAAAGAAACAGAAGCCAAAGGAAGTAGCGAAATAGAAATAGCGTGCCTCAATTAGATTTAATGGCAAACAACAAATGACCAACAAATTAACTTTTTGTTTGGCCCGCTGTTTGATCATCTGTGACAAAATACTTTCAAGAGAGATTCGAGATATTGCATTGAATGTGGAGGGTTGCTGTTGCTTTTCTTTTAACAAACACCCAGGACTGTGTTTTGTCCGCAGCGCCTTGCTCATGTATTATTGTTCAATGAAAATTTAAATTGTAGTTTTTATCAGCCTCAAAAACATAAAACACAACTTGACGATATCAAATACATGTTTACAAGTTTATACAAACATTTGAATGTGTGTAAATTATCCACGCATACTAAAAGCAAAGTTAATAAAAACTAGTTGCTGTTGCCAGAAATTCAAGAGACATATTCTTGGACTGTACTCTCATCCGAGTGGCTTATTCGACACCGTTATATCCGGTACTATATTTCCATATGCATATTAGTAAGATATACACTTGTAAATATGCACATGTGTGTCGCGAAAAGATCTCAACCTGCTATTAAAAATTTCGATAGGCCTCTGAAATGACATTCAAGGGTATATTAAAGCGCTTCCGACTCCATAAGGTAGATATGCTTATATGTATGTATGTATGTGTGTACATACATATGTGTGACTATGTGTGTCCTGATTGGAACCTAGTTCTCAGAGACTATAATACATAAGATAAGGTTGGATTGACAAATTGTTAATTGTTTATTGATTTTTTGTTCACTACAGGAATCTAGCGTGTAGCAGAGTGAACTTTTAGTCTGAAACTAAACTAAAAGTGCCACTACCGATTGTTTCTCGACTATGGAAATTAGCTGTTTATTATTAATTTTTAATTAAGGAAAAGGGGCTCACTTACCTCGCTTTTGAACCTCATCCCGATTAATTTGTCCAGATAAATTCGTTGGCGTAGGCAGGGCCGTTGGTGTTGGCGGTAGGGCCAAGTGTGCTGTTGTTGTGTTGCTTGGATACCATGCCCATCCACTGGTTTGTCCATTGAACATGCGGAGCTTTTCATAAACAGATTCATTTTGCTGCTGCGCCTGCTGCTCCTTTTGCGATGCCAAATTGCGCAAGACTCGATTTATGGATGAAACCTGCAATTAAGCACAGTTCAAAAAACATACATACATTCATACATGTACGTTCATATGTACATATGTACATAAACATAGTATTACTGAAATTAATTCTTCTGATCTGTTGTATTCTCCCATAAAAATGTATTTAACTTTCGTATCCTACCCTCTATCGAAATATTGCATAATGGAAAATGTCTAGATACATACACACATATATACATACATACATAAATATAGCTGCGGTCAAAAAAAATACACTTCCCCAAAAGAATTTTAATTTTTTAAAGACTACCTTTATTGCATCCTGCATCCTTTATCCTCCTTTTTAAAACGTTGCAAAGTTTATTGTGTTATTTATGAAACTTTTCCTCTCACATAACATCATAAATTCTCTGTAAGATTGAGATCGGGTGGTCGATCCGACCATTCAAATGAATTTACTCTTTTGGCAGCGAACTCTTTGCCAACTTGAACGCTTCTTCTAATAATTTCAATACTAGTTTGAAAATCAAACATTGTTTTTAGGGCTGAAGCAGGTCGCCTGTCGTAATAGTTCATTAACTGATATTTTGCCGAATAACTTCGTTGATCGCGTGTTTTGCTTTATGGTTCTTATTAATTGTCATTTCTAATCATAATAGCTAAACAACTAATAGTATTTAGCATCTCGAAATATTACTTTCCTACTGAAACGAGCCCTTTAAGCATGAACCCTTTTCCGCTCTAGAGTGTTTGCCACACCCCATGACACCGGCACCAAATGACCAAAAACGAAACTAAAAAAGCTTGAAACTGATAGATAAACTATTGAAGTATTTTTGAACAATGAAAGTTTTGCAATATGTAGCAATATGTAAATCCATTGGTAGCACTACAATTATTTTGACCGCAACTGTATGTGTGTATACACTCTGATGCAGTGAGAAAAATTCACTTATTTGTTAATATTTTTGTCGGTAACATAATTATTTGGTCGCTGAAGATTCATAGACTCAAATGCCAATCGTCATTAGATACAAAATGGGGATATACCGAAACAAGTGTGAATGAATAGAACATACAAGTTTGTGAGAGAGATGTACATATGTATATTTTGAAGTGGTATACATAAACTGTAATATTGTTGTCATTGGCTAAAAATCTTTTCTTCTTCATTGGTTGAAACTGTAATACATAAACTGTAAGTTTCCACTGCGCAGTAGAATTGCGCAATTCAAAATTCGAATGAGAATCTTGGAACGAAGCTCCCACCCCCCCCATTGGACCCATTCGAAAACTGGAGATATTAAGGAAGCCGAGAGCGATTAGTACAGTTTATTTTTGTTTCTTAATTATCCCCAATATAAAAATTATAAACTTAGCGGTAAAATTATTATTTTTCACGTTGAATTTTTTATTTTACAACTGAAATGCTATTTTTCTTTTCGAAGATATTTGAAATACATACATACATACATATGTGTAGCTAAAAGCTGCATGAACCCACAGAATGTCGGTCTCTTTTTTACTTTAGCTGCGACAACTGACAACTGACTGCATCAAAAAGTAAAGTTCAATGAGTGCAATATTCTATACTGTTACAATATACATACATACATAAGTATAAAAATGGAGCAAAACTTCAGATGCCCGAATTTTCCGAACACCACATACATCTGTGAATCAATATGATACTGATACTGATGCATACTGAGATTGGTTTGCTATAGACTCATTGGAGCGGATTAAATAATAGCACTTTAAGCGTTAAGTCGCATAAGCACACAGTATTTGCAATCCTACATTTGCTGGTCGAGACAATAAGATGGCCCGTCCGGTACTCAGTGGATGCGATTGCGTCTATTCATGAGGTATTTCCCTTTGGAAAGTGCAGACAAACGGAAAGAGAGACTGCAAGGATGAGAGAGAGTCGTATACACATTGCTTATAAGAATGATTCTTCCTTTGAGCACTTAAAGCATGTACAAAGCATGTACTCTAGATCGATATAGCCAATTCCGTCTGCGTGTTTATTTCGCTCAGCTCCCTCCATGCTTTCTAGTTAAAACAGTGAAATTGAGTCTTCCTTTTAACTTCCCGAAGTAAAATCATCTCATATACGATTCCATATGCTTATGCGTCGAGCTGATATGGTATGCCCTTTTGACTAGAGGTCTGAAAATGTTTACTTTTATTTGGCGTGGCTTTCAACGGGTAAAAACTATTTATAACACATTACACTCCAGACATTTTAGGGAAGACATTTTCGTTTTTACAGTATTGCGCAAAGATATATTTATAGGCATACGAGTACAATGCTCTACTGCTCGAAACAAAAATAGTTTTCATACCCGGTACTCTAAGCCTCACAAATCGAATATACCGCTTAACTCTTTTATTTTAATCTATCAGAAAAAGTCGATTTTTTGCGAAGCGTACATATAAAGTTAACGTTTGTTAAATGTACAATAAAGTTTTTTGAGCACATACATTTTCAAATAAAGGATTCGATTTACCTCATGACCTAATTAATTAATTACCAATATTATTAATCCATAAGGCTCACTATGGGACATAATGGGTTAAGCTTACACAACAATTTTAAAAACATCGATGTTTCTCCAGTTCTAGCACCCTGTACATATATACATGTAAGTAGGAACCGTCCAGTTCGAATTGAAAAGAAACACTATTGCTTCCGAAGATCATATATGTAAGCCGATAAATAAATGGGGATGTGCATAAAATACATTTTCGTAATGTACAAACTTTCATGCGCTTACACATGTACATATGTACAGATATATATATGTAGATATACCAAACGTCATTACCACAAACATACAAAATGCCACTTTTGCAGTTGCCTTAAGTGTCGCCACGTGCCATGGGTCCAACATTTCTTTGGACCCTTTACTCCTCTCATTTAGCACAATTGAGTTGACGTTGGGCTGATGTACAAGTACGAGTATGGGTATAATGAATTGCTGGTCGTTATTATTTGTACATAAAGGCATCAAAGAACATCAAAGAAATTGAACCAAGAGACGAAAAAACTTGTCATGTTATTTTTTTATGAAGAGTGTACTTGCATTTTGTAAAAAGTTTTTAAAGCTCACAATAAAGCATATCCGACGCTTTAAATTACATATTTGCATACACGTACGATACGATCATATATTTAATACTAGTAGTATAATCGCGCCATCTGTTTCTATACAACTCCATTAATTTCAAAGATATCTGATACCATAGATTCTGCACAAATTCTTATTTGAAGAAAACGGATCTGACAACACTGTTAGCTCCATATCCATAGGAACACTCGACCATTATAGAAGTTTTATACCATATCGTTTTGAAGCACATACTAGTCGGTACTCGTCAACGCAATTAATAAAGTCGATTTTATCCCGTACTCAAAGATTATTAAGGTATATCTGATTTGTGATTTAACAGCCAGAAAAAATCATGTCCGACTCCATAAAGTGTATATATTCTTGATTAGAATCAATTGCTCAGTCGATATAGCCATGTCTGTCTGTCCGTCCCGTCTAACGCCTTAATCTCTGTAACTTTAATAGCTAGAGAAACAAGATTTAGTGTGGCACCTCCTGTGATATCACACTGAAAAAGTGAACATATTTAAATTTTGCCAAATCCATCAATTAGTTTTAGGTGTAAACAGAATAAACGAAATGCAAGAATACGTATTAATTAATTAATTAAATTAATTTCTCTCTATGTTTTTCCCATCTCTCATGACTAGTTCGAGCAGAGTTTAGAGATAAGCAGGGTATTCTTACCTACCTTACTTCTTAAAATCTTGTTTTGCTCTAAAAGCACAGCATGCACGTTTTCCTACATTGCATATAAACATAACACTAGGTACTGGTAATAAGTCAACTCTTTTTGTTCTTTTGGTCAAGGCAAAATATATTATGTATCTAAATACGTCCCATTGAGGATTAAACACCAATAAAGTTTTCTCTTTAAAGCAGGCATAATGCACCAATACAGCCATCTAAATAAGTAGGTACACACACACGTATGAACATATATACGAGTATGTATGCATTTATATATTTCTATACTGTGCCAGCTTAATGCTGTAGGGATCAGACTTTAACCAAATCTTTTTCTGTGGCAGACTAGACTAGTACACTATTCATTAAATAAAAATACTCGAGCCAAAACTCGTTGCAAACGTTTTAAAACTACTCGACTTTTGTTGCTAATCAATTAGCCAAGTAAAAAAAAACATGCGAAAAATTTGAATTTTATATGCGAGTACCTGTACCTCAGCAATCGGATACCCTAGGCTTTTGAAATGCGATCAAATAAGGTGCGAAGGGTCTTCTCAATTTACAGGTGAGGGGTACCTCCGAGTACCGGCTATAATAATCCTTTCTGATTTGCGCGCTAGAGGCGTTACGCTTGGGAGTAAATATGGCATCCCAATATTGTTTATCTACCAATCCACAAAAAACCGTTGCTATCGGACGATTAGAAAAGCTTTCTTAGTTTACTTAGGTGACTTTATTGTGATGGGAAACGATTTGGACGGCTACATGAGAAAACTATGGAATTTCCAATTTCTTCAAACGAAAGCTAGAGAAATTAAAAGTGTTTAACCTCGAGATGCTGGCGCCTTACCAATAGGCGATTGGGAACTAGCTAGGTACGAACAAGCTTAGTCAGAGTGGAGGGTAATGTCAATTTTGAGATCTGAAATGTTATTGCCGGAATTTCGGAATCGGAATGTCCTAATTTTATATCGAAACGGCACTAGAAGTCGGCACTGCCCTTCTATTTGTATCTATTTTACGATAAAGATTCCACAAAACCATTCTGCGGCTACAGAAACCTTTACAACCTCCAACCTCTTCGGTGGGATTAGACGAACAATGCAGTTGTTTACCTGATGGAATAATGAAAATGTATTCACTCGGCTGAGACCATTGAAAATGAGAAAGATCTCCGAAACTAGACCACGGTCTATGTATCCATTCCCTAATCCGTTTTAAATGCGATGGATTCTTTTTGTTTTGAAATTATTTAATCCTTCGTGCGCCCTAGCCTTTTGTTTGGATATACTTTACTGCAATCTTGATCGCAGATACTTTTCCTGCTGCAGGATTAAGAATTAGTTTTTCTGCCAACCCCCACACAAAATTACTGTGGAATTAGTATTTCAGTATAGTGATTACGTTAATAAATCTCTTCTGAAATACACATCAACTTGTTTTAGCAGACAAAAAGAAAGAAAGACTAGCATTGGTAGCCGTAGTCGTCCTTTCTATGAAAGCTACTCACTGCCAAATGTTTCAAATAAGGTTTGCAAGAAATTGCAGTAAGGCTGTTGTCGTTATTAATGATCAAGAAATAATACACAAATAAATTCATAAGTAATTAATTAATAAAATATTAACAAAAACAACTTTTCCGACCCCATAAAAAACATGTACTTCTGATCAGGATCTGGCTGAAAATTTGCTAGGGACAAAACGTTTTGTGTAGGTCTGTAAAAAGAGCTCTTTTAATCAAAACCTAACATTTTTTTAGGAAATTTAATCGGAATATTTATGTAGGTACTTGTACGTAGCAATGTTTTGTATGCTAATTTCGAAAATAAAGCCATCTATTTCCGCCTGTCTTAACCATGCATAGATCTGCCGGATCGGATTACTATACTAGATAGCAACCACAGGTACGAGAAAAGCTCGTTTGCTTACCAAAATCATCCCATCTAACATTCACATTTGGTACAAAGACTTAGTCGGAGTCAGGCTACTACGAGTATAGCGGTCATATGAACAGTCGATCGAAAAAGACAACGCCCAGTGGGGCCTTAGCCGAAAAAAGAGAAGCATTGAGAAAATCTTATATTAAGCTAAGGGGATATACGCCTTTAAAGTTGACCAATTTTCAGGGTGCAGCAACTTACCCAATTCTAATGAACACACTGCATCTTTCGGGTCGATTCAAAATTAAACTATCGTACGATACATTGTATTGTTGGTCTCGTTTTATACCCGTACTCGTACTTAAGGGGTATATTGTATTTTTAGGTGTATTCATCGTAACCATTGTTTAAAAACTAGACTTTTGGAAAGATTTCTAAAGAACAATTGATTTCAAAAATATCAATTTGTTGGGTATTTTTCAACTTTGAATCGAGTTACAAAAATGCTCCCGATTGTCTCCGCTGACTTAATTTTTTTAAATGATTTTTGAATATTTCTGTACCTATCTGCGCAGCTTTGCCCAACATGGCCGGCTAGAGCTATATGTGTTGTGTCGCAACCCTGTACCAAAAACAGCCCAAATGCCGCCAATTTAAATACAATTTGGTTTGAATATTGGTTTGAATATTTAGTTGATAAAGCTGTTATAGAAGCTTCAAGAGATAAGCAAAAGTATCAAAAACTTCGGTTCCGTGCACTGGAATGCCATATTCTGACCGTCTACAGACTGACTGTTGCTGGTACATGGAATGGGCTGTCGATGCTAAATGTGGTCGAAAGTGTCGTCAAGTTTATATCCTAATCGTTCAAAGAATTTATAAAGTAAATCTGTAAATATGTCATGCAATTTAGGCGGGCTTGTTTTCATCTTGAGCATACAATTTAAATTGTACACAATTCGATATTTTCCGTTTTGAACTTACACTTGGAATGTTATCACTATTGCAAACTTGCTCCGAAAGAAGTCGATCTCGAATTTCCCAAGCAAATATGCTCGGACATTCCCGCTTGTAATCGGCAATTTTTTGTACGACCGGCGTTGTAGCTACTCGTGGTTTGGAACCACCTATTGCTCGAGGTTTGATTGATCCTGTTTCATAGTATCTAAAACAAAAGGAGAATAAAATATTAGTGCATAATCGGGATTATGATTGGAATATTCAAGAGTACTCAAATAGCTTAGTTCTACTTGGTTCTGATTGATGCTGATGCTGATCAAGAAAATACACCTTAACATACGGAGGTACGGAAACGTTTTAATATATGTATGTACATATGACAAAAGGAACAACGATTAGTTTCGACTAGCAAAGAATGTACAGTCTAAATATTTGTATGATGTTTAAGGCCTCAGCAGGGGTGATAGCATATGTACATTGTACATATGTATGTAAACCATTCGTTTGATTTATTCTACGCTGCAGAATGTTCTTGAATACAAGTTATATTTTAATAAAAGTATTATATATTTTAGAACGTACATATTTTACAAAGAGTACATCCGCTAGTGCTAATGAACAGATTGTACGGGGTTTATTATATGGGGTTTGCGTCTCACCTGCCCAATATTTTGCTTACGCAGCCATTTGAAACTTGAAGTATTCTCGATATATCACAAGGACGAGCGCCCGAGTGAGCCAGCTCGACTATCTTTTGACGCGTGGAGTCGGGCAGGGGACGGCCATTTACATAGACGCCGCCTAACTGATTGATACCACTATGACCCGCAGTGGAGCATCCGAACAACGCACTCTGACCGACCGAAGAGTGGTGGGGATGGTGCCCATGCATGATGTGTTCAGTAGTTAGCATCATGATTGCTGATTGGTGTATTAATTATTCCACTGCCAATTTCGATGCAAATTTGAACGTATGTATGTATTACGAAGTACTTTATACAGTAATAAATTCAGTATAGTACGAGTATTTGTTTCCGCGCGAATCCCTGCGAGTTGATTAGGTCACAAAAGAGTGGGATTTCGTCTCGTTGTCGTTGCAAGTGTGTTTTTTGTTACTTGTGTATACATATATTTTATATTTTTCACTTGTTTAGTCAACACTAGACTATCATCACTATACGATTATATATAACTCCGTTCTCCGTTACTCCGTTATATAACTTGTTCCTTTACTGTAGCGGTACTCGGCGGGCTAGTTCGATTTTCTTCAACTTTTATACTTTGTACTTTTTGCCAGCTCTTTTAGCTTTTTGCGGATTCTTACACTCTGTACATTGAAGTTTTTAGAGTAACGGAAAATCCGATTTGTAAGGCGGAACTAAAGTTGAACTAAAAATTGGTCCCGATAGTATCTGATCTGCCACAGGTGCAGGCAGGTGCTGCCGTGCCGTCAGCGACCCGGCGGCAGGCAGGGCCACGGATTGCGTCCACGTTTATTAATCTTAGAACTAGTATGTGCATTCGAAATAATCAAATCGCAGCCATCGTGACGTCGGCGTCGGTCTTAGTTTGCTCTGAACAAAATTTTCTTCTACTAACTGGTTTCAGTGGCGAGGCGAGGCGCGCACTTAGCCAAGCGAAACGTTAATGAGCTCTCATGCGAAAAAACACTGGCAAGAGCAACAGCACAGCACAGCGAAATCATCATTTGCCTTGGCAGGCCAGGCCAGCCATTTTGACAGAGTTACACTGTCACACTATCTGTCTCTTTCGTTCTGGTTGCGTCCGTCGCATGTGGTGGTATGTATGCCTCTTTCCCATATCTAAAACAGAGATGGCTGTAGCTATGCAAGAGAGACGGTGATGACGAAGCAGAGAAACAGTTGAGTAAGAGAGGGATGGCAGTAAGGACAAGGCGGTGCAAGGCTGTCCCTTTCTATCATGATAACCAACTTTTGGTTGGCTGTTTGATAATTTAACTTTATGAATTCAGATGATAATAACGATTGCAAACAAAACTTCATTCATTCATACATATGTATGTAAATATGTGCATATGTTTGTATGTACACACATACATGTACTTGTTTATAAGCGAACTCTACTCTGCATATGCATATGAATGAATGCATGTAAAAGTTTCGTTTTTTCTGGCGTTTTTGTTTGCACACACTTCTTGTACATGCATATGTATGTAGGTACATACATATGTATTTGGATAGAGGCATACCTTATGTTAAAGGCTTTTGCACATTCCAATTATAATATTTTGTTTTGTTGAAAAGCAGAAACCACCTCGAACTCACAGCAAATCTACGTGATATATTTTTAGAATTAGAAGTAAAGATTTAAAATATTTACCCTGAACAATGTCATGGTTGATCCACCTTCCGAAGTACCATATGAAATTTCCGTTTGATCTCCCAAATCTGAAGCACTTTCTATACATAGGTGAAATCATTCACTCGACAGCCAAAAATGCAGCCATCTTGGCCGTATTCATATACTCATATATTCATATTTAGCATCCGCCGACGATTCTTGTATATGTTTCCTAAGGAAAAAAGTTATTATAAAGGTATATCTAAAAACAACGCATATTATTGTGCATTCCAATTTCCCCACTATCGTTTAATTTTTGATTAATACCAGTCAGTTATTTTTAAATAATATTATTTTTTTGTAATGTATCTAACATATGTCTGCGTACAAAAAGGTTTATTTTCCATTTTCATACCTTAAAATTGTATATTTCGAAATTCCTTTATTTTAAAATAGTAAATGGATATAATTTTTTCACGCCCTAGACCCTCTAATCTGAAGTTCTGTAGTATCTAAAGTTCTATGGAACATAACGCAGAGAAAGAAACGTTTTCGACCCCATAAAATATATTCCTAATCAGATCTTAATGTCCGTCCGTCCGTCTGGCAGTCTTATTTGTCGCCTAGATATCAGAGACAATAAGAGCTGGAGAAACAAAATTTTGTTTCCAGACTCGTGTGATATCAAACTGTTACAACTGTATTACAAAATTTCCCCCCGCCCCCTTCCGCCCACAAAAGGACAAAAATCTGTGGCAAAAATCTGTGGCAATATCGTAGTGAATAGCCATATCTATAAGATTTCCGAATCTGGATCAGATCGGATCATTATTATAGCCAGAATGAAGAAATTTATTTTCAGCGGCAACATCCACGTCCTCCGGCGCTGCAGACGCTACTTATTCTCTTTCTCGCTCGCACACTCTGCCCAGTGCAGTGCGTGACCTTTTGCAGGCAAGATGTAGAATATACATTGTAGATGTATAATATACATTTTATATGTATAACTAGCAGACCCGCGCGCTTCGCTGCTTACTAAATGCATTTAATGTTTAGGAATTCATCGAAATTATAATGATACAATGATAATTATCATTGATTATAATCAAAAGCAACAAATATACTTACACAAATTGAATTTTTTTTCAAAAAATAATTTTTCTCACTTAAAGGTATAAAAACAAAATCTATCATATCTGTTCTACAGAATGACGCAAAATGAATTGAAATGAAATGAAATGAAATAGGCGTTTAAACACACACAAATTTGAGATTTTTTTTTGATTAATTTTTAGCGATTTTAAAGCGAAAAAAGTCTAAATTTTCTAATCAAAGACAACAATGCTTATAGCTGTACGAGAAAAACAAATTTAAATGTTGAACGAAAATATATGCGGAAAATATAAGCAATATGTAAATCCAATAGTAGCACTACTATTATTTTGACCGCAACTGTAGATGACAGATGTAGCAAAAAAATTTAAATTATAAAATATTTTGAAATTCTACATAAATTATATTACTGGCTAAGTACGGGTATCAAAGTAGAGTCGCGGCCACGGCAGCGACTCACAACGCTCCTTCTCGTTAGGACCATACAATTCGAAATTCGTTTACTACATATCGCAGCGGCCTGGCTTGGCTTTGGGCTTGCAAATTGCCGTATGTGTCAGTTACACAATTTCCACCACCAAGAAAGCACCAGCAGAGCAGAGCAGTAACTAGTAGCATCCAAGAACTTACAAGCATCCCCAAACATTCAAGCAGCATGAATGAGTACTCATACTCATTTCATTCAGCCTCAACATGCCGCCCGACACGTTTTTGGGATTTTTGAAGTCACCCACCATTCACCCACTCACTTCACCCTCCCCCCACTCCATTCTCTCTCTATGTTCTTCAAAGGGAAATACTTATTCCCGGTTCGAATTTTTGTAATTCCTTCTGCGTGTGCCAAAAATTTCATGGAGCATTGCGGAGGTGACGAATCTGATTTTCTGGAATGTGTGAATAAACGTTAATTTATTTCATATTGTGTTGAACTGGGCGTACATTATAAAAAATCAAACACGCCCGCCCATTGAAATTCAATGGCATGTTTATATGTATTTATTTATTACCGCGTTTTTCATTATAACAGAGAAACGGTCAGTCAGAGAACGAGTTAGTCAGCCACTTTAGTCAGTTCGTATGTATGTTTAGCTCTTTTAGTTTTGTTAAGCTCTAATTTTCCTCGAATATTAGCAAAACATCCATCTTTCCAGTAACATTTTATATCGACCAAATGTACAATATTTGCATATTCTTTATTAAGTGGAAAAGTATAATACACTCCGCACTACACTTCACTACACTCTCTGTATATGTAGCTGCAGCAATGTAATGGCAAGTAGGATACCATCATGTGTGGGTATGTATGTACCCTGTGGTTTCAGATGAGATTGTGACTGCGGTGAGAAGGTGAGAAAATATGGGAGTTCCAATAGGCGTGCCAATTGGCTAAGTCTGTTAATATATTTTTTCATCTTGAGGCCATAAATGAAACATGTACTCGTACGATACATTATATTTTCATTAGGCGTGTGTCAACCACAAACAATTGTTTATGGGCGGAACATTGCTGAAACAAAAACAGCCGGCACCACCACTACTCTCTCTGTATATACGATCTCATCAAAACCGGAGCCTGCTAAGAATGCCCAATGCCTGATGCCAAAGTAGGCTCGCGAAAAGTCGTCAGGCCACAGATTCACTCGCAGTCGAAGAGTCGAACAAAACCCGAGAATAGGACAGACAACAATTGAAGAGAGGAGCAAAGGGACGAGAGTGTAATTTAGCTTAGATAACAAAGAATCGGGGAGACAGGACCAAATCCAAAAAGAAAAAACCGCAGCCGATGCCGACAATGCTTTGTAACGAACAAAAGAGGTCAAAGTTGCTACACTAAACAGACGAACAAATACGAGTGCTTGGCATGCCGTCCCGTCTCGTCTCGTCGGTCCCAGAGTTTGTTAGACAAATAGAGGACACGAACATTTTGACAGTCAAACCCTACTTAGGGGTGCTCTGCTCCGCTCTGCTCTGCTCTGAGCCTGCCCTTGAAGTAAACAATTAAATAAAATGATGCATTGTGTGTGGATTTGCGCTTGAATAAAACTGCATGCTCCCGCCGTTGTGGTTGTTGTTTTTTTTTTAAAGGGCGCGATATATCTTTGTGTGTAATATGTACATGCATACACACTCGTATGTAAGTTGTACATATGTACAAATTGGAAACGATAAATACTCACATATATGCATGTTACCATCTCTCTCTTCGATTGGTACCGATGGACCATCGGTATTGAATGGTCTATTAAATTTTGGCATTTTCTCATATTATAATATTTCTAACCTTTATGTTTATGTTATGTTTATGTTATAGGAAAGGCTAAACACTATCTAATCCATATGGACTTTAAAGCACTCTTCCTGTAGGGGAACATTATTGATTGCGTCCAATTACAGTGATGAAATCGGCATTACTTGTTGGACCTGGACTGGGACTGGGACTGGGACTGGGCACAGCACTGCACAGCACTGCACAGCACAGCGCTGGCTGTCCTGGCTGGCAGCACGCGTTTCGTATTATTTGCCGGATGCGGAAATATTATTTTAAATAACTGCGCACCAACACGAAGGACAAATCAAGGCAAGCCAAGGCATGGCAAGTTAATGCGGCGGCTGTGAGTTGTTCAAGGGACTGGATCTGAGGGTACATCGGTTTCATCGTATCGTCCTTAACTGCTATTGCGCTTATTAAGTACCAATGGTATGAGGTAAGAGGAGAGGGCGAGTTTGAGTGAGCGAGCGTGTGCACGGGAAATTAACAAAGGAGCGTGCAGAATCTGATTCGTAATATTTGCTTACCAAAAGCTACCATCGTTTATTAATTTATTGTTCGAGTTTATGGAATCGTACTGTGCGTTCCGTTCCCCGTTTGCTCCCAAAAAAATGAATTGTCTGAACTGAAGCAGAAGCAAAAACAGAAGCCAGAGGACAAGGATTGCCTCGACAATGAATTTCCTACTTTTTAGGTTTGTATTAATGGTATCAGTTTATACTTCAGCTGTCATACTGTCTAGTTACAGACATATGTGTATAAGCTAAACAAGACAGGAGACAGGAGGTTACACATTCCAATTCGTTCGCTCACTAAGAGAGTATTATAAAATTGGTCAAGTGTTTGTAATGCACAGATCCATTTTCGACTGACTATGAAGACTGAGTCTTTATAGTTTAGGACTGCCCGTTTGTATCAAAGCTGCTAGAGTGGTATATTATTCAAAATATATATGAGTAAGTAACCAGTGCCGGTGTGAGTCGCGGCACACATTCACTTGCCGCTATTCCCACGATTCAACCTGTTACTCAGTTTGTATAAATATATGTAATCTTAGGATATACCTTTAAGTACCTTTAAGTACGGAGTGGCGAAATATATTACAATCGGTCTATCCTCCCGTCCATCCGAACCTTCCGTTACGTCTTTCTCTGCCTCTCGATGGCCATCTATGAAGTACCATCGATCAACATTTTAAAACCAACTTGATTCAGTGTGAAATCGCGAGAGTCTGCTCACAGAATTAGGTTTCTCTATCTACTATGATCGCTGATAACTGGGCGACAAACAAGATGGACATGGCTATATCAGGTCAGCTATTGCTGATCGAGAATATATATATGTATATGTCAGTTTAAGTTCTGATTCTGTAACTTATGAACAAGAGAAGTATGTATCACATCCCTGTTGTTTTATGGGAATACTAGCGGCCCGGCCACTCTTCACTGTGCCACACTGTGCTTGCATGGATGAGAAGTGAGTCGAATAATACGCTTAAAATACATTTATTTTTGCAATAATTGGAGGGTATAAAATTTGTGTGTGTGCTAAAGGGCGGGGGACAATGTTAGGTTCTTTCAAGGTGGCACAGAGGAATGAACCCAATGTAAATGAAAATGTGTGTGTGAGCATGTCATAATTGCTGGCACCTCAATCAAAAGAGCCACGAGTTGATCGAAATCAACAACGACAATTGAAAAGCAGACAAATGGCAGACAACGCGAACAGACAACGAGTACAAGTCAAATATTGTTCCGCTCATTCAAAAGTTCTGATTGGTGCAATGGACACCTCATTGTCATGCGCTGAAATTCAAACATGAATCAGATGGGATGTGTTGCGCATCAGGCAAAAGTGAAACCACCTGAAATTGAGACACATCCAGAACCATCGGCACGGATCAAGATTCAAACCTGTTCCTGAAGTCCATTCGCACATTCAATTCATGCTTCCAAATGACATCGTTCACAATACTGCGGCAAATGGTTTGCCGGGTCAGCTAGCACATACATACAGCACATACACATGCATACACATAGTTTGCTTGTTATTTTGTATACATTGTTTATGAATTTAGCATTTAAAACTGTTTAGCACTTTAGGCATAGATGCCCTGACAAATCGGTGTGCCGCAAGTAAAAAAGTGATAATTTAAAGAAATAAGAAATAATGTATTCCAGTGAGCGTGTGACTTGGAAGGGTTAACTATGTACTAATGTGAGAGGAAACTAAATGACGATTCCCAAAGGAGGAATCAAGGAAGCATACCCTTAAGTTAAGGCGCCGTTCGATTTTTGCAGGCCTGCTGTACGGTATACGAATTTCAGCAATTTAGTTTATAACAATGAATGGGTACGAATGGGTATTACAACTGAGCCATTGTCGTTGCGTGCCGTGGCGTTGCGTTGCGTTGCGTTGACAACGCCAAGCGGCAAAGTGGCCAGCCAGCCAGCCAGTATGGGCGTTTAAATCTCTATTTACTGCACCTCGTATCCAGCTGTGAGCTGAGAGCTGTGAGGGTGGGGGTGTGGTGGTGGCTGTTTTTGAATAGTACTGACGTTTTACATCATCATCAGCATCGACACACGGCCTCGCCCGGCCCGGCCCGGCCCGGCCCTCGTTCTTATCCTCTTCCTCGTTTGTAATCGCTGCTCTAGCACAGCCAACGTCGCCGTCACCGTCACCGTCACCGTCACCGCCTGCTGTTGCCAGCGAGCTCGAAAGGCCAACAGCCGCTCTGCCACGTGTCGCTGACAAACTGCTTAAACACGCCATTGATGAATTCAAATACGCCTGGTTTCTAGGCCTGGGTCGTACCTCTCCCTGTTCGTGTGCTCGACAAATTACACTCTTTGCGGCATTTTGCGCTTTTAACAATTTTATTGTTATCGATCGGTGGTCTGGTCGCCTGGCTGCCAATTACCAAGTGCTGGACCAGACGAGCACCAATTGTGCATCAATCTGCCGGAGAGGAACTCTCCGCGCCACGGAAAGTTTGAAAAAAGCTAGCGTAGTCACGGCGAAATTATCATTGACATTTTTAGGCTGTACATAGAACAAATGTGATTAATTATATGGACAAATGGGCGAGCCTTTGCGTTCGTTTTACTTGGCTTGGCTTGGCTTGGCTTGGTTGGAATTGGCTTGACTTGACCCATCGACCACTCAAGTATATTTACAGATGTGTTCGCATGTACATACATACATAAGAGTGTGTATGAACACTTACGCCTAGACAAACATGTGGCTATAAAGGTGTAAAACGGGATTAGTAGGTTGGTGGTGGTGGTGGTGGTGATGGTGGTCAACAACAAAGTTAAGCCCAGTTGTATTTAGGTGCGCGTCAAATGCAGGATTACAAGAGCTGTTTTGTCATTGGCAAGTTCCAATTTACCTTAAATATGAGCACTCAGACCTTTGCAATTGAACATCTGATTCATTTCATTGTGCTTGGCTTGGGGAACCAAAATCTCAGCTGTTTGGTCTCGAGATAACAATATTATACTCGGTACTCTAAAAAATAGTAAATTAGAGTAGGTACACTATTCCCTTGTATGGAAAGACCGACGGGAAGACTGGCAAGGTACAAGATAAGATGCCCGAATGCTGATCCTTTGAAAGGATATATTTAGAGTCGAGCACCTGTTGTGTGTCCATGTTTGCCAGCGTCAGCCAATTGATTTGACTGATGGAAAAGATCACTTCGTCTGGATCTAACTCATGGCAGGAGAGCCCCAGTCCACCATCCATCCATCATTTATAATCATTGAAAAACGTCTTCTATCGTACTATATGTCCTTTGGTTGGTTTACTGTGGCTGTCACAATTGATCAAAGTTCCCTACCAGATGTCTATCATCTATGCTCGTAATATCTCTTTTGTAATCTTATGCGTAGAAAGGTGTCCACGCACCCTCCATAGTCGAATGTGTCGAGTCGACAATAAGATCTGGGTATCTAGCCCCTCAGTGCAGGCTATGTCGTTTGCATATGTATGTACATATGTATACCCGATACCTTGATACCTTGATACCTTGATACCCGGTACATGTGTAACAGTGGGAAAGAACATAAGCGACTACGTAGGCATTTCTCTGACGGGTTTGTCCACAGACAAAAAAATAAATGTCTTTAAAAACACGTTTCCATTCAAATTTTGTCACGATATTATAGTCTAAGTTTATTGAACGACAACTAAATTACCCAATTGACCCGTATATTTTAAACTGTTATTAGCTTAGGAATTTTGTGTCCCATATCATATTTCCCAATCATATTGGCGTAAAATTAGAACCATAAATTTTATTTATATATTGTCTTAACTTTCGCTGAAATCTGAGTTTGAATTGATCGCCGCGAATTTGTCCCGAGCCAATGCCATCGTTTTTAGCAAAAATCTCGAAAACGAACATTTGCACAAAATCGACCGTATCGCCAGTTATAGAGCTAGTCAAGGAGTGTATCATACTGGTAAAATAATTTTAAGCTCTTGCAATGCGTACGGGTGTCCTATATTTCTCTCACTGACACTGCCTGCTTTTCCCTTAAGGTCAGAAACTAGTTGTGGTTTGCTCGGAAACAGCTAGTCTGATGCTGCTCATTCAGATTTGGATAAACGGAAAAAGGAGGGATACGAATCGATTATAGGCGCTGATCAAGAAAATGTGCTCATATGTACCCGTTTATATGTACAGTGTGCTATAGCTACATATATAGTATACACATAACATATACATTTTGTGCATATATGTATGTATGTATTTGAATTGGCTGTAACGGAACAGCCCGGTCCGCCGCAAATTCAAATCTTGTCTGTCCCTCGTCATAGGCAGCAAATTAAATTATTGTATAACAAATGTTTCGGCAATTTTCATGAATTCAAAATCATTGAGATGAAATAATGAAAATCCCAAAAAACAATCAAAGGGATATCCAAACCAAACCCGAAACTTTACCCCTGGACTACCCTGCTCTGCTTCATACTGTTCACTACATTTTTACATCTCGCACTACCAATACATTTCGTTTCGCCACTGCCCGACCTGACCCTTTTTGTATGTTTGACTTACTTTTCGGGGTGGTGTCGTCTGCGGACGCGTGTTTGTTGGTGAGCCACACACATTTGCGTCACTTCAGCATTAATATGAAAAGTAGGCGTTTCTCTCTTGATGAAGTTATACTATTAGCACGCCCAGTTGATCCAACTTCAAGTTCAATCTAGACTTAAGACAGGGACAGCATGAGACACTATCGTATTGTGTATTTGTGTTCGTAGCCATATCCACAGTACTATCAGTCGCACACTGTGTGCACTGGCAGCACCAAGTCTAGCCAACTTGTAACTTCAAAGTACAATTCATTCGCTGCTCTGCCACAAGGGTTTACATATGTCTGGGCTCACCGATTTAACTTGAAGTCTGGTGCAATATTAACGTCAACGTCCGACGTAAAGCATTGGCTATAAATTAATCTGAGCATAGAAAACAGCAACAGAAAATAGCTATTTTCCGGAAATCTATAAGACAGCAAATAACCAAAGCATTTCAAGTTTACAACTATCATATTATAAGGCCCACGCCCACTCCTGTTGTATTTGGATTTTATAAATTGTAGGGTGTTCTGTGAGCTGAAGAACAAATGCTTTGTTTCATTATTTCGGATGCAATAATGAACAACACAGAAATCATTTAAGTAACAATACGATGCGCCCCCAGTGAAAGATGAAGACGATGATGACAATTACAATGAGAATTTAGCCGAGCCGAGCCGAGCCGCGGCTGCGGTGGATGGTCGTCGTCATCATCAGGGGCAGCACAAAGCCGGAGCCCACTTCACTGGGCAATTACCTACTCGCCTGGAAAAGGAAAAGGGGAGCTTCAGCAGCAGCAGCAGCAGCAGCATCGAGCAAAGCTGCTCAAAATAAATTTGAACCCTAGCCCTGACTTACCAATAGCCGTATTAACGCCAGACATTTCGCCATTGCCCATGTCGTACTGTCGCTTGTTCAATTTCACTGCGAATGGCATCTCCATCTCAGATAGGATAGCAGATTGATGCTGCAGACCCTTCCCCTTTCCCCATCACCATCCTGTTCATTATAAAATTTCTGTTGACGAGAACAAATCATAAATATATAAAATACATACATATACATATGTATGCGTACGTGTGCATATGTACCTTTACATATATTTTATTTTATGTAAATTTAAATTTTGATCGTGAAGGACAGACGTGATCTTTATAGCGAGCGGCGGCGAGTAGAATGATGTTTTCAGTTATTTGTTTTAAAATAACTCATTCAAATCTTTAAAAATAGAATCGGGTATGGCTTGTTTAAAATCAAAAATCAAAAATTGATGAAATGTTATGATTTTTTTAAATCGAACAAAATTTAATGGAATCCTCTGAGTAGTGGGTATCTGTGGGTATCTCTTTGTCACGGCACTCGACATGGTTCTGTTCTGCCTTATTTTTAGTGGCATTGCATTGCGTCTTCTCTTCTCTTCTCTTCTCTTCAATCCAACCCAATCCAATCCAACAAGTGCTGTTGACAGCATCACTTTCCACATTTCATTTTGTGTCATTAATTTCAGAGTCGGAGCAACCGCATTGGGAAAAATAACAGCTGATCCCTCTTGGCTTTGTGTTTTTTTCCCGACATGCTTGTTCGACTCCTCGACTGGAACTAAATTGTGACATGTGATAAGAATTTTTCAGATAAATCTCGTTGCCTCCGCTTCTGCACAGTGCTGGGATCAATGTGTTTAATTCGCATTGTCGTTGACATTTCCTTGCCTGTAGTAGAGGTATTCTTACAAAGTTTAGATACTTCATACATAAATACATACATACATACACCACCATCAAGCAAGTAAAGCTCAGTGCTTCCGATGCAACCCAACCCAACCCTGCTGCTGAAACAATAGCTAACAATAACCCCGTTGATATACACATTTCATGGTTATCACAATTTAGCATGGGAGTTTCTGCACTTGCCTTTTCAAGTTGGTTAAAAGTCGCACTTGGAGCGAAAGACAGGATCACGATGGCGATAGCGAT